AATAGAGCATCATGTCTCATTAGACAGGAGACCAAGTTCATTCTCCTCGCTAAACCACAAACATGTACAAAACCAACAGTGACACCTTGTGGGCAGTGCTCAAGCACGAATCTAATAACTACAATTACTTCCGGCACATCAACTTTAGCAGACAGATCACTAAAATAAATGAAGGCATATGTTCTTTTGTAGCACTGGAAAAAATAATTCACCCTTTACTGAGTGCTGGAGAGGACAGTGTAGACAGCCCCGCAGCTCCATACAAAGCTGGTCTTGCATCATCCAGGAGGAATAACCATGGGATCCTGCCTGGCATGGGGGGCTGCCCACAGCAGGGCTTTCAATTAGAATCAGGGGTAGAAGTTAAATCTGAGGCAGCAGCAGCCATGACAGCAAAAGGGCCAACCATGGCCCATGATGTATGGCRTTTATTATCAAAAATAAAACCTATATAATAAAAATTTCTTACTTTCCTTTATCAGAGGGTACAAGGGTAAAGGGACATCYRGATRGATCACAGAGCTGGGCAATCACCARCTGTGGTGATGGAATTAAACAAGAGCAAATGCTGTATTCTTTATCTAGGAAGGGGCAATCCTGGTCATATGTACAAATTAGGAGAGAGCAGTCCTTCAGAAAGTGATCTAAGGTTTGTGTTGATGGCAAGTTAAATCTGAGGCARCAGCAGCCATGACAGCAAAAGGGCCAACCACACTCTGGGGTGCATCAGGCACAGAATACTTTTCCCCGTGTGAGTTCCAGCAAGAAAAGATGTATGGCACTTCAGTTATCTCTCAGCACACACTCTCATCAAAAAATAAAACCTATACAAAAAAAAAAAAATCTTACTTTCCTTTATCAGAGGGAAGACTTGAGTAAGCTGCAATTTGAGCACAGAAACTGTCTGCATAAGCTCCAGGAGAAGTTTTTTTAATGGTAAGACAACAAACAACAATTCCTAAATCTCTTGTTAAAAGTGGCYGCTGAGCAAGAGTTCTGAAGAGAATAATAATGGACTGGAAAACTTCTCAACTCAAAGGAAACGCCAACAGAGCATTTTGGTAAAGGAGCACTGCCAGTCTCTTCCTTTTGCCCACAATTAAGGTCAACATTAAAATAAAACCAAAAAGTCCAGATTCTACTACCCTGCAGGCCAGTCAGCACACAACCCACAGCTGCTCAAGGCACACTCATCTTTGCTTTTCACTGTCACTGCAGAACTCAACACACTTTGAGACAGAGTGATAACATGTTAGGCTTTAGGCACACAAACTATCTCTTGCACACAAGGTGTCTGGAGCAAGGATATAGCTAAACACTGGATATGTCTGTTTTGAAARGAGCGTTAAATTTTGTTTTGCCTAGTCACTAAAATGACTGAGGAAGGAAAAGTGTGTGTTAAATGCATTCAGTAGTCAACACTGTCAGTAAAAGATGAAGCACAGAAACACAGAATCAATTCTTCTAAGGGATGGTGTAGCCTGGCATAAATCTTGACATGTTACAGCCTGCACATGCCTGTCAACACCCATCTATGACTACAAAGACTGAGTGGATAATCTCCACTAACAGTGTTACTCACCTCAGCACAGAAAAGACTATTCACAAAACACCTATGTGGTTTCAGGTTTAGGTTAAGTGTCCAAATGCACACCCTCTGGATCACACTGGCAATATCAAATTCTAGGATCAAACTGCTGAAATTCTTTTCTATGTTACAAATTATTCAGCTTTTTTCCAGAGATATTGAGCAAAGTGTCGTGTTGAAGAGGGCACAATCAAACCACTTAAGATTAACTAGATATGTGATTTCAAGTAAGGTTGATTTTCAGTAAAATCTAATGCTTTTTTAAGACAAAAGTAACAAATGCAACTTTCAGGCACCTTAAATAAACATTCGTCTTTTGAGGAGAGAAATAAATACTCTACTTAGTAGGAAAAGAAAGAGATCCCACAAAAAAACTGTCTGGCCAGGTTTTCCATCCATAAAAGAAGAGAATACCAGAGTCTCCTACATTAGCCCTTCTACCAGACTGATTTATTTCAGCTCTATTCKTTCCAAGTAGTACTCTTCACTTATCAGCCAGTTTGCTAGCATTTGTCTTCCCAGACTTCAAAAAAAGCCCTCTGCCAGCAGAAAGCAGACTAAGTTACCTGTTTCTGAAAACAACAGATAATTTTTGCTTAAGAGTTAGTTCTCCACAAGTTAAGTGCAAAAACTGGGAGCTCTGTTGTGTTTAGATCAGAGAGAACAATGGCTTTATTCTGTTGGGGTTTTTTTTCAATCAGAAAAACAAGATATAGAAATAGAAGAGCAATTTGTCTGATCCCAGGAAATGCCCCTTATTCCAAGCAATTATCCTTGCAGCTCTGCCTCTGGCACCTTAAGATCTCCCTCCTCACAGCTGCACAAGTGCAACTGCACAGAACAGCTACAAAGCTGTCTGTCTGTCTGTCTGTCTATCTATCTATCTATCTATCTATCTATCTATCTATCTATCTATCCATCTATCCATCTATCCATCTACACACATGCAGTTCATTCTTCTAGATAATCTTGCTGGCTATTCATCTTCAGATGGGCTGGAGGATACTTGCTTGAGTGCAAGTTTCAAGCTACACAGCCTAGAGATACTCAGGTACCAGGCACTCTTGGGTTCAGTGTATGGACATTATCATGGCTGTCCTGATGCCATGGGGCACTCACCTCACTGTGGTTTTATTTCTGTAGTTTATTCCCATAAATAACTGTTGCTGTGTTGCTGTGTTCTCCTCCTCGTCCCAAGGTAGATGCACAGAGTAGAGTTAAATTATTATTCTCAACATGCATTTGTACAAAGTGARTTGCTACAGAACAAAAATACCTTTTAACAGTTAAGAACAATGCAAGATTAATTCTCCCTGAGAATAATCAAGAATATCTATCCTTGTGGACTTCTAAAAATCCTGTAAGYTTTCTTCCCCACAACTAGAAACCAAAGCCAGATCCTTTTCATATTTCCTGTGAACAGTACTATTAGAACAGGATTGGTACTTGGAGTGTAGAAAAATAAAACTAGCCAGAGGCTATGGGAAATGCAGCAATGACATTTATTGGAATTTCTCCAGGCATTACATGAAAAAAAATTTAAAGTGAAACAGAGGATAAAGCTCATTCAGTACATCTTTAAAAAACAGATGTATCTGAATAACCTTGATTCATGATAGATRCTGCTGCAGTTCCTGGGATTAATTTTTTTATGTACACATCAGTTAAAACTCACTCTGAACAAAACTGCAAAGAACTGCCTTTTCAATTGGCATTTCCCCATCTAGTACAATACAACAAYCTTGAAATATCTAGACAGATTCCACATAATTTTACACACAGTGTTAAGACCTTTCACTCCAAATGTAAAAAGAAAGACCATTAAGAAAATCAGTATCTTTAATCAAATAAAACATCATGGAAGTAAAAAATGAACAACAAAAAACCCAGGAGAGCCCAAGCYCCTAAGTTCAACAGCAGTGTGCAGCAAATAAGCATTGTTGTTCCTCACTTTTATGRTAACATAAAGCATAATACTTAGAAAGCAGTGATATTCAGTCTTTGCTTTCTAAATYGGACAATCTTATGCATAAAAGACACTGCTGGATTTGGCACTTTGCTTAATTGTTTTTCTCACTAAAAAGAATAAGTGTTTCCTGAAATACAGTATAAATGGTAAAAGATAACGTGAGCCACTGTAACACGCAATTAAGGGTTCAGACATGCACTCCAAAATACTTGTCTATTACACATTTGTCTAAGCTTTCTCAAAAATTCCACTCAAAAACATTTTCAAATCTATATGCAACATTTTATACCTCTATAAACATATTTTCTCCCTTGAAATGATCAGAATTTATCTCACCTTCTGCCCAGAACACTCTAATTCATTACTTTTATTTTAAAAAGAAGACCAAAAAGCAGTTTTAAAACAGGAATAGCCTGGAAAGCATTATTAAAACTGTGTCTGTACTTCAGGATCCCCTTTGAAATGTATAGCCACTGTATACATGAAAACTGAAAGGTACATAAGATCTGAGACTTGCTTGGTCCTCTCCTGTGCACTCAAGCTCAACTTCCTGCAACCTACCTCAATTTTCTTCTCAAATAAAATTTAAAACAGCTTTCTGGATCCCAATAAAATTAGACAAGTCTTCTCGCAGTGTTTCTTTGGTTAAATGAGAACGCCTTACACACCTAACTCTTACGACAGCAAGTCTCCCGTGAATAAATCCCATCCCACAGCTGTGCTTCCTTCCTCCCCTCATCACCATCAACCCCAGCTGGAAGCAAACAGCCAGGAAGGAAGCAGCAGTCACTGTCAGCTCTTGCCTTTGTAAATTCTGTGAGTGCATGCATTTCTCAGCTCTGGGTTACAGAGGTGTAGCTATGATGCAATGCTTTTTGTTTCCAGCTCCAACATGCACGTGGAATTGCGCTGCTGGCCGGTGCAGCCCCGGCAGCAAATGGCACTACAGCTCTTTCTGCATAAACCAAGGCATGGTGCTTTTTCTGCTTATTGGTCTGTGCTCACAATGTCAGTAGAATTAAAAGAGAGGCACGCATGAGTCCACACAGGTTTTTCACAGAAGATGTGAAACATGCTGCTCTTTGGAGGGAAAATTACATTCTCCTTTTTTTTTTTTTCTTCAAGTATTATTCAACATATTCAATATACATATATATAAAGACACATTATCCTCATTTCACTACAAGACAAGCACATCCAGAGTGAATTTGCAGATCATCATTATCTTTGTCTACTCCAATTTCTCTTTTCCTGTAGGTCAACTCTAAATATACATCTATTCATCATAATTACATATGAGAATCCTTTATTTCCCCCTTGTGGTTTATTTACATAATCATAAAAAAATTAATAGCCTGAATTTGCATACTGACACTTGAAGGCCCATCTGTAGCTATGAGTGTCCCAGCACTATTTTTGGGTAACACCATTGCCTATTGCTAAGTAGCTATTGAAAGCAGCGTACTCATTTCTTCTTTCCCTTTTTTTTTTTTTTTTTTTAAGAAATGCTGCCTAGAAAATCTTGGTTTATGGCTTACTCCATATTTTATTATTTGGGTTGTAGTTTACTTCCTTCAGGAGAAGTTCACAGTCAGACAACACTTCCGCTGGCAAATATTTCACTATCTGCTCGAGAGTCTTTTGATATGTTATCTTCTCCTGTTCCAGGGACTGAATTACAGTCTTCATTTTGTTCTCTCGCGTCAATACAGTCTCCAGGCTGGCTTCCAGACTCTGAATTTTAGCATGAGCAACCTGTAAACAATAACATTATCTATGTAAAAAATTGATGAATTCCGTAAAGTTTTCTTTTAATATGACATGGTATCTGTTAAGGAAAGAATTACATAGCTCCTTCTGAAAGACATCTGTRTAGGCAGAGAATAGAAGGAATGTGCACTGTGTATCATACATAAAATCTCCTCATGGTGACCAGATTAATCTGAAGGATTTCTCAAAGGTTTACAGAGGAAGGGAGACATGCAAGCTGCAGCAAGCAAGGGACAGYTGGGAGTAACGAGGAACTGGAGCGGCAGGGAGAAAAAGGATGTCAGCCACTGGAGTAGCAGTGGYAGACGTGACCTGTCTGACAGTGATGCAACAATGGAAACCCTCTGTGATAAAGCATGATAGAGGATGGAGAGGTTGGAGGCAAAGAGAACCTCAGCATTAAGCTCAGAAGCAGACAGTGTTCCCTATTCTCCAATTAAAAACCTACAGTTTCCTCTGACTAGTGAAAGAACCCCTGGACCACAGCAGTAGCAGTTCCCTCTGTGGGAAGTGGAGAAATTCTGATTGTTCCTAGGAAAGGGCGTAAGCAGGGGAATGAAGAAGTTATACAAACAAAAAGGTGAAGAGATTGAGGTACAGAGTGTACAGCACTCTGAAAACAGAAAGGCTTTGATAGAGCCTTTCAAATCAAACCACTCATAATTATTCTATGCCTTTGCTGCATTTTCAGAACAGAGGTAAAAGCCCAAGCTCCAGTAAATAAAGAAAGAAAAACAACAAAGAAAAATTAACAATAGTAGAAAGTGCATTTGATTCTTGTTTTCAATATCAAAAGAACATAGCACAGCACCCTTAGCCCATAAACACTAAAATAATGACTTGATCTTTCCTTTTCTCTTCCTTCTATTTTTAGGTTTCAGAAGCTGAAAGTGCTCTCTGAGCTCTTTGAAATGCTTGTTCAAATTAACAAATATAACAAGAAATAACTTGGTGATGAAAAAATAAGAACTTGACTTTAAAGAAAATGCAAGACAATACATATTGAAATTGAAACAAGTCTTGGCCAAGCTATAAGACAAAGGGTGAACAGTGAAGGAGGAAGGACTTTTTTAAAGCACAGCTTTAACAGGTGAAGTCTGGTGGACTTTCAGGTGTAGTCAAGTTTGCTAGGAAAGACCACCTTCTAAAAGCAGGACTACGAGTTTCAGTAGAAGGAAAGAAAAAAACACTCCCTACAAAGGGCTGGAGAAAACAGCTCTGCTATACTGTGAATAACTTCTTAAAAWCTTCCAATAGGGAAGCAAAGAGATGAAGGGACAGAGAACTTGTTCTTCAGTAAGAGACACAAATTTTGCCAACAGATTTTATGGCAGATAAGGATAGAGGGATTTTGGGAAAAAAGAAATCTAAATCAAAAAGGGAAAGTTCAAGGAATGATAAAGGAGTTAGAAGTGTGCCTAGCAGGAGTAAATCACTGTAATTAAGAGAACTGCTCAACTGCAGAACATCTTGCAGTACGAAGACTTCTCACATACACTTAAAACAATACTTTCTCCTCTGTTGGCTGAATCATAGAAATAAATGACTTCTCCATAAGTTTGTAGTCCTAAGTCGTTTACCTGTAGCTTCTCCAACAAATCCATGTTTTGCCTCTTCAGATGATTGTTTGCCCTCTCCAACTTCTCCAGGGGTTCRCCTTCATCACAGGGACTCACATTTTCCTGCAGTTCATCCTGAAGAACATGGTACTCTACTTCATAGGCATGGAGCTGTTTTGAAATATCCATCTCAAATACCTGCCATGAGAGGAAAAACCATTTTAACTGCCATAGGGAGGACTTATACTACATGAATATTTGACTAAGAACCAAGATGAAGTTCTATATTACTTCCACTGTTCTATTCAAAGGAGATAAAACTTTAAATTACATAGTGCTCATGTTGGGTAAGTACCATTTTCTTCTACACAGCTACTCGATTGATCATCTGTGTGTAACAGATCTGCGTGATGTCTACATTTTTCTTTCATCACCCATTATAGGAGGATGACCCTGGGAACTGCAGGACTGAGAAAGCCAAACAATTGACCCTACAGCCAGGCTGGGTAGGAGCAAYAGGATACATGAATGGAGATCTGGAAACCTGCTCTGCATGAGACCACAGCACAGGCCAGCAGAGCTGTGCTGAGCTGTGAGTAACCACATGCAGCTCTGCAGGCAACAAAACCCATTCCTCACTTTAGAAGACCCAGCTTTGCACAAAGCCATTTCTGCCACGCCCACCACAGCTCGACTGTCCTGCAACCCACGCAGAGCACTGAACAGATTTAATGTCTGAAAGTATCAAAAGTATTAAACCACCATCTCTGTCATTGCCAGAACCAATGAGTGGTGAAGACAGAAACAAAAGTGCCTGACATAGGTTTAGCATGGCAATTAGAGTCAACGCAATGAGGAAATGAAGATTTACATTGTCTCAACATGAATCCTTATCTAACAGCACCTGAAGGATTCAAACCTTAACAAGCCACAGGAATGCGTGTTAACTCCACTCCTGCACAGGGACATGGTTTTCTAGAGCTCTTCTGTTATCTCTGAACTACCMCCTGAAGGGGGGAAACTGCTGACAGGTTCACAATTTAGGTACTAGACTGAGGCTCATTCTCAATTTACAGCATCAATGCAGAGGAAGTTTGGGTATAGAGATGAAGATTCCAGCCACTGACAGTATTGCTCAAGAAGCTTTTCATATCTTCTTCTRAGAAGACTTTTGCTTATAGTGTAGGCATGATTCTTTTAAAGTAAACTAAGTGGGGGAAAAAGTAAAGAGAAAAACATCCTTACCTGTGTAATAATTTTTTCCATTTGAGGCTTAGTCATATCTGGAATAGTGGTTTTAAGAAAATCAACAATGTTCTCAAAACTTTCACATCCCATTATAGATGTCTCTTGACTGCTGAGTAGGCTCAATGCTACTTTGAATATGACTTCTGTTCCTTGAAGAAAAATAATGTCTAAAAGAGAAAATAATTAAAGTATCTTGAAAATGGGAGCTAGAGTCATTGGATAAATACATGTATTTGCTGGGATGTTCTCCTTTGTAACCAATCACAGTGCTGATGTTCAGTTCAAAAGTGCAATCTGCCTYATTTCACCATGAGGATTAAGCCTATAAAAGGATTTTCTTTCATCTTACAAATGTGAGAGGGCATTAAAGAAAATACTGCATGCTTGTTATGTCTGTAGCAGTTATCAGCAATAAGCATTTCATCACTGCTGGCCACTACAGTCTGTGGACTGCCAATCAGCTGCTAACTGGTTTTAAGTGTTCCTGTGACTGAAAAGCAATTGGGGAGCAAACCACAATGCATCTGTTTTCTACAGGTAGAAGCTAGTCTTAAAAAATTACAAAGTAGATTCCACAGGCAGCTATCTTATTTTCAAAATTCATAGTAGTGATCTTAGTGGTTATAATCTAAGCCCCAAACCCTTACTTTGAGGCATAATTACATGGATATGAGGGGAAAGTCTGGGCTCTGCAGCTCAGTAGACACAGTCTGCACAGAAATGTGAATCTTGATGACAGTAAATAGAAATTCTGCCTCAGAAGCTGCAGTGAAGCTTGCAGTTACTGGGATGAAGGCAGCACATGGGCAGCTCAAATAAACCTCCTGAGCTGTCAGCTCTGTCACACCACAGGGTGTTTGTTCAGGGCCACACAACTGAAGAAATTCAGTTCCTGATTCTGATACTCAAGAGGTCACCCCTGGGCTAATCCAGTATCACATGGCAACATGAGGACACTGATGAGGCAGCCATCTCCCTCAAATGCAGCTCCTAAAATTCTCCCTTGTCAAGCCTATGATGGACATCCAAACAGTATATATAAGCATATAAGTATATAATCTGTGACGGGTACACACTAGCTATTTGTTCCTGCTATATGATAATCACCCATGAGACACTGAAAATTCAGGAATTTAAAGCATTGGGAAGTAAAACAACACAGTAACTTTTCAATTTTAAAATAGGAACATGCCTCACTCAGCTTATTTACAGAGAAAAGAACACCAAACCTGTTTCCCATCCTTAAAAAAATCATTTAGGAAAGGAAAAAACCAATTAACAAAAAAGAAAGAAACACAAAATGGTCAAATGTCCCAGAATTCAGTAACCCCACTGGGAAAGAGATATTCACATGATTGGTACATCACTGAAAAAGAGATACACCAACCATTTGATCATCCAGCCAGCAGCCAGAAAACATTTTGGTGTAAAAGGAAAAAAGCTCTATAATGGAGAAACCACTAGATTAAAAAAAAAAAAAAAAAAAAAAAAAAAAAAAAAAAAAAAAAACAAACAACAACAACAAAAAAACCACAAAAATCAAAAGACAAAAAAAAACCCCAAAAAAACCAAACAAAAAAACCCCATTAAGAAAAAAAAACAAACCCAAACACAAAAACCAAACCATCCAAAACCCTCTTCCTAACCCCATGCCAACACACACACAAATTGAGAACCTAACACTCTCTGGTATTGAAACATGAGACAAAGTCAGCTTGAATTTCTTAAGAAAAGACAAAAGGTGTCATATGGAAACAGAAAGAACAAAGGGAAAAATGTATCAGATTTAAGAGGATGTACACTACAAATGCGCTTAGATTCTTGGTGCATATATGAGTACAGTGAGTTTTGCATTAATAAATAAATTTAAATTTTAAAAAGGTAAATTATTGGAGATTTGACTAAGCTGGCAATTCTTATTGATAAGAAAAGAAGACAATAAGCAATTACTTGACATCCTGATACTGTAAACACTAGAAGGCATAATCAATATTTAGGCTTCTGTACTAGACGCTACCTCAAGAGGAGCATATAATGAAAAAACTATTTAAATAAGAGGCATACTAAGACTTGGAAATTGTTCAATATAYACATGAATACTGAAACCAGCCTTTAAGTTCAAATTTGCTTGAATTTTTTTTTAGAAAGCACTTCAGAATCAGAATTCAGAAATGCATTTTCTTTTTTCAGTTGCAAGTTCAACAAGATGAACTTTTTYGTAGATATAAACAGAACCTATTTGCATAGAATACATTTGCAAACATAAACTTTCTGCTGTTTACACTTTGGAAGTCTCTTAGGTAGTAGGAGAGGACATGATTATTTGCTCGTCTGATGTTTCAAAGAATGCCGTCTGGATTTTCCCCTTTAGTAAGGAGCTGACATTCCACCATGAAAAGTATTGCTACTCACCACCCACAACAGTCACCCCAAATGTCCCCAGCATGTAGAAAACTACTCCTGGAGAGTTTCAAAACACAATGGACATGCTCTGTTTATTATTGAAATAGAAAAAAACCTTCTTACCAAATACTCTGGCAACAAATCCTAATGGAAACTGAGATGCGAAGAGTGTAAGGAACCATGGTGCAGCATAAAGACTGGGACTGATTTCATTTTCTTCGAGATGATTATACAGGTCTCTGTGATAATCATGTAGAAGCCTTGAGAGCTGATACATCTGAATCTACAGTATATGAGGGGATTGGAGAGGGAAGGAAGTAAAGAAAGAAAAATTCAGTTTTACTCAGTTTTCCAAAGCATTCATATTTCATTGAAGGGAAATTGACTGCAGTACAGATGGCACAGAGCGATGAAGCTGAATTACTGCCTGGGACCTTGAATGGTATCTACTCACGTGTAAACAACCTGCCACTAATGAATTAAAACCTATGGGGTAGTCAATAACAAAGAACAGTTTGAACCTGATTACTAATGAAGTATCATTTCAGATTTACAGGCTTAAGGTAAGCAGGGAATATATTACTCCAACTTTGTCAACAAAAGGGAACTTTCAGTCGTGCAGCAGTGAAAGYAGAGCTACCTTTTCCAAGGTATCAAAACTCTCCATTACAGAGTTGAATTATTTCTAACTGAATTTACACATTTCAGCTTTCATTCTTTGAATTTTGGCCTTATTTTTGGTGCATTTAAAACTCCTATCCTACAGTCATCACTCTAGACTGTTTCTGTACCCGCAGAATACATTTCATACAGAGGTGTACCACACGCATATGACCCAGCACATGAGTGGTCTTGAGGAATTTATGATACTGATGCAAAAAAGTGTTGTTATACACCTATAAAATGTTGCTAGGGACAGTGGTTAAAAGGTGCTATTCATGGCTAAAAATATCACTCTGTGGTAAACTATTTCCTTGCAATGCTTCTCTCAGAAAGCAAAAGATGAGAAGCAGMCATGTATTGATTAGCTGTCAGGTCCAATTCTGTTGTCAACCGTGCCTTATGCTTAAGGTGAAATCTTCTTATTTCCTCAATAAGAAAAGGATTCATTAGATCGAGCTATTTTCCTGCTTCTAGAGTTCATGTTTGTTCTCTACCAAAAGCTGACGGTACTTGAAGCTCTCAGGACTGTGTACATGCAGAGGGATCACTCCATTTAGGCAAAACAGCTAAATCTGTGCATGTGTTTGAGTCCTTGCTTCATTGCAAAAGATACCAATTAAGCCTGTTTTGGACAGGTGTGAAATCTTAATTGCATCACAGAGTAAGCAAACCAACTGGGATAGTTCATTGTGAACTAAGGATCTAGATTACTACTTTTYCCAGACAACAATTAAAAACTCTAATTTAAGTAATTTTTCATTATCCTGAAGAATCATTCAATGTTTTTCTTCTACAGAAATGAACAATTCTGCCTAAAAGCTTGATTGTGTTTCACTACTGTAAATGCAGAAGAATTTGCAAATATTCTACTCCTATCAGAAAACAATCCAAATATAGTGAGATCCTCTAAGTCTTCTTGTCTAGTTTGTCTTGAGCAGACAGAAGTTTACTTGAACACAAGGACTGCCTAGAAGCAAACTGTGGGGAAAGACAGGTCATTTAATTTAAAAGGCAAACAGAACGATCAGTGGTAAACTTTTCAAATTTAAAAGTGCTTTAACTAAGAGGCTCTGGCAATTAAAAAGTCACACTCATTTAAATCAACATGTGAAATCCTGGATCTGTGAATACTCTCAAATTATCAGATGTTGTTGGAAGTCTACAACTGTAGTGTGATACACAAAGAGAGTGTCTACTAGGGAAAAGCAAACCCCACAAACATGCATTTATCACACTTTGACCCTCACTTGTTTAAGACATATTTGTGAGGGACAATGGAACAGGGAGGAGGTAAAATGATGCTTTTGATGAAGTTCACCCTTAATTCATCAACAACAACCTGTTGTTGACAACAGCATATTTACATCCACAGGAAAACACTCCATTTTCAGAATAAGCACATACAGTTTCTTTAACTACAATCTATTCCATTGCTCTGGACATTTGCCAAATAAGCACCAAAAGTGAATGGTCATGGAAAGAGGGCTGAAACTCTCCCTGAAGTCTTACTTAATTATAAGGGTTTGCTATGTGGGGAGCATGGGGGGGAGGAAAATTTTTTATTTGCTGCTTTGTTTTCTTTTCCTCCACTGTGGATTATAAAAGTTYTAATTCATCGATGGTATATTCCTCTATAATATAAGAGGTTTATAGCACATAATTATTCAAATCAGTGGACAGTTGCATGTCAGGATTTCTCAAACTTTAAACCCTGAAATTTATACAGATCTGAAAAATTTTCTGTCTCCTTCCTAAACAATCTTCAGTATCTATAGCTAGCCATTAAATAACATTGCAGAGCATGCATCATTGCATTAGCAAATTAAATGATTAAAAATTCATCTGTTTTCTCTCTCTGTTGAGGGTGATGGAGTAGAAGACAATGAGACAAAGAGGTGAAATGATGAGTCCAGGCAGAGCAGTCCCAAATACAAATGCCTGCTGAATGCATTGGCTGGCCACTGTGTGTCACTATTGACTTGGTCTTAAAAGGCAGAAATCTACATCCAAGTGCTCATGGGCTGAAGAAAAACAAAATCTAATTAATTTTTAAACTCCATCCATACAAGACAAAGCATATCAGTCTTCCCTTGGCACAAGAAAGAGAGAGCAGTGAGGCAAAGAAAAGGAAGGGCAAGAAAGCAGAAAGCAGAATTTCTGAACAGGAAATGACAGGGATGTGAGACAGGAAAAAGTCTGCAAGTTCTAAACATCACTGAAAATTGAGAAGTAGAGAAGGGTTTGACAGTAAWATATACATGCACCTCACAGCCTCCAATACAGCTTCATAAAGCCCTGGAGAACCTAAGCAATCCCTGAGAGCTCAAAAGTAATTTAAAACTCTGGTTTGCTCCAGAAGCACTGACTTACCTGTAGCGACATCATGTCTGGCCTGTACTGTTTGCGGAAGCCAAGGTCATACATGAGGAATTTCAGCATTTCAAAGGCCTGTTCTTCACTCATATGGAGGAGCAGAACTCCAGCTACAAAGCTTATACCTTGACAATAACCCACTTCTTTGTCCAGCAAAGAATACGCTTTCAAGAGATTAAAGAGTGACAGCTGTCCTGCTCCCAGGTGGGTGGAAAAGTAAGGATGTGTAGGGAATGTCCGTCCTGATGTAAAGAGAGAAGAGTAGTTGATAGTCAATTCTTCTCAAAAACCTCAATTCATCTGACAAACAGCACTTCTCCCTCAGACCATTTCTCTTTGCTTTCATATGCAGGCTGCCTTTAATCAGATCAATCTGTATCTTATCACTGATTTTAGACTGTACCTTTTGATCTCATTTAATGTTCTTGTCTGCACAGAACTTGCAGAAGCAACTGCCTGACTTCTCTTTTCAGACAGATGCAGAAGAGCATAAATATGAATGGCACAGCCTAAGAAACCATCTGCTCACAGGACCTATGTTGCATACACAGAACGTATCCTGATACACAGAAAATGGTATTCACAGAGCAGCATCTATCTTTTCCATTGCAACTGGTGTGTTTTTCACTATTTTCACACATAGCCACAAAACCAGTCAGACTCACCTAGGTCTACAAGGATGGCRTGCTGTTGAGCAGTCAGTTGTTTCAGAAGTTCTTTGTAAGAGATGTCAGGAGGCTGCTGCTTGTTTGGCAGCCTGTGCCTGACTCGGTGTTGCACAGCCAAAAACTGCCAAATTTCTCCCCGACGACTTTTTGGTACACCTGCAGATCAGTCAAAGAACAAGTGGCCTAAGCATGGGRTATTTTTGATGCTACAGCACAAGAATTTGCTTTGTCATAATCTTGGCTGAACCACTCTGGAGGATCCCTTACAAAGCGAATGCATTCACTCAGTAGCCACAGTTCAGCCCCACAAATTGAACATGAGCTACAAACTTAAGGGCAGTTACACTGAGCACTACCCTGGGCAACCGAGGCACAGATACCCCTTGCTCTGCCATTTCTGAGACATTTGCCTCCAGGAGGAAAAGATGCATGACTGMACACAGAAAGTAAAACAACCTGTTTAGAAAGGCTAAACTAAATTCACAAGTGTAAAATACAGGGAAGTCCACCTCCTCTTTCTCTTCTCAAAGGGCTGCTCATGTCAGTCCACAGACTCAGAGAAATACATCCCACTTTGATATCTGACTCWAAAACAACCTTTGGAAGTCAAAACAGTCAACTCTGCTAATCCCTTCTAGATRAATAATCATTTAACAAGAATACAATTTAGAAAAAACATATCCTTGTTCCCAACTCTGAACTGCAACTCAACAGCAGAAGATGGGATATCAAGGTAAGCAATTTGTTTGCAGATTTCTGCAGGTCACCTACAGGAACTGCTTCACATCTACTACAGTCTACTTTGGTACAATTTAAACTTCCTTTCTGTACCACAGCCAGATTACACTGAATTAGTTTTAGCATCCGTAAAACAAATAAGAGATTCTATGGAAGAGGGCAGAGCAGTGCAATCAGATAATCAAATAATACATCTGCATGATACTAACAAGGCCCTCTGGATACCCTCTTAGCCTATGGATAGTCCACAGGAAAATCCACTTCAAGACAAAATCCCCAGCCTTTCACTCCAGGAAATCAAATACTAAGTGACCATATTCCAGACTCTCCAAAGCTTGGCTCTGATTCCCCTAGGTTTTGGGCACAGTAGACATTAGCCCACAGTAGACATTATGGTCCTGCCTTCTCAGTAAGCAAATAAATCAGAGCATCTGAAACTCAGAGTCAATTGGATCCATTGATCAGAAACCAGAAGGTCACAATGTTGGCTGCAGAGGCTCTGAGTTCAAACTTGAATGCAATGATACACAGAAACAAGATGCTGCTTTCAGAAGTATGACTATACATCTTTCTGCATTGCTGACATCACAAGCTGCAGACACAGCAGAACCTATTTTCTGTTTTGCAGGAAAAGGTAGGCACATCTGTRAAAAGAAGGCAATTTTTTGCTACTGGAGAAAGTGTATTGCTGGCAGATTTCTGCTGGTATCAGAAGGGAGCAAAAAAACATGAAGTCTTCAGACTTTAGTTAAAAGCTCTCATAAACAAATACCTTCTTTTAAAGTGGAATGAATATCTTCCATGTCACATCGGATTTTGGCTCTGCAGTTTAGCAGCTTCTTATCCCAAATATTTATGGCATCTTTCTGACATGTGCCAACTTCATCATAGTCCAGTTTTACTTTTCTTGATTGGAGCTCATCTCTGCTTGCTAGRACACAGAACAAAAAGGAAGAACACATGGAAAACCAGAATGTCAGAAAATTACACAATACAACAAATATACAAACCCCATCCAAATTAGATATATCTATCCAATAATTTGACTGGGGAAAAATATATCTACAATTCATTAGCTTATAGTTTAGATGGAGCCAGTTGTCGTAAGATGCTGCATGTGTAACTATTTAACTTCTTTTACTGGGTCATCAATATTAGCAATTCATGAAGCACATAAAAACATTTTCTAAAGCTTGGGGCAAAAACCACCAACCCACTCAGCAGAACTTCATAGCACCTGCTCTGCAAAAGCAACTTTGATCATTTAATTCTTATCTATATTGAACATTTCAACTGTTTTAGTATGGAAAGTCCCAAACAAGAATGTTCTTATTAAAGATTTAGGCAAGAAAACTAGGCAAGTCTTCTGAATGGAAGTCAGTCAYACTGGTTCCAGTTCCTTAAGAGAGGGAGAAGAGCTTGTGGCACTGTCACCTGGCATCATCAGATTGACTGGAGCAAACAGAATGAACCAACATGAACCAAATCCAAAATGATACATTTGTGCTGAAGCACAGAAGTCCTACTGCTACAAACTTAACAGCTTTGCTGCATAGGGCTACCTGGTACAAAGTATTTATTACACTACTTCTGAAATAAAGTTGCATCATCACCCTGGCATTTCATGGAGAAGAAGCTTTCATTTCCGTTACTGAGAAGTTAACATTGGGTATTTTATTTCACATGAGGCACGTGCAGAAACCCAATTCCTCTAACTACTGGTACAAAACACTGAAATCAAGACTTAAATGTGTCTTAATTTAGAGAGATATGCCTAACTGTCATTGGAGTGAACTGTACATTCCACAACATGACCTCTGAGCTGCAGTTGAGTTTATCCCAAATTTGCCTTGATCTGTACTTCTCACAGAAGCCTCCTTCCTCTTACAAATGAATCCCCTTCCTCGCCATCACCTCTAGGGGAAAGCAAACTCTTGCTCACATTTTTATACAATGTGCTAAACAAGACAATCTGTTCCTTCACCTACTCATCTCACTTCAGACAGAGTCACTATTGGATCAATCCACAGGATCCTTGCCTAGCCCACTTCAAGAATAACAAATTATTTCCAAAAGCTCTATGTCACACCTCTGAGATCTTACCCATTCAAGACTACAGGGGCCAMAAAAATGGGAATGTGATCTTACCACATGCTACCCTACTGCTGTATGATTTCACTCAAGAATGCTCGCTCTCGTAGGCAGCATGCAGCACATTCAGAACAGCAGTAATGTATTTCAGTGTGACAACAAACTCCCATATTAACTKTGCAATTAACCCAAGTGAAAGCCAGCAAGTTTGCCTTTTGATCATACATACCCCACCCACTACCCCATCCTTGGTTGTTTTCAACCCTTGTGAACAGTTTTCCTAATCATTTCTAGGTGGTCTGCTACTTTTTGCAGCTCTTATATTTCTAGGTGACCTACTAGAAAAAGGAGCTTTTAGCTTCTCAGAAAAAAAGAGAAAAGAAAGGAAAAGAAAAAGAAAGCAAGTTTGTGCAATTGACAGAACTTACCTTCTGTAAAACAAAGAACTAATAGCATTCAAGTCTCCTCGACAGCAAAAGGAATAGGAAAAGAGGTTCTATTAATATTTTGTACATAAAAGTCAACCAATGATTAACAGAAAACCACTAGAAACAGTTCCACAGCAACTCGTCTGAAACCAGTCTAATGTATACAGCTAATGAATTTACAGCTAGGAACATGGCTWCAAGTAAAGAATTTTCTGCATTTCTCTTTCCTGAGATGTACAAGAACCACCCGAACCAACACTTGTTTGGAATGTATCAGCTCTGCACATGTCCTGTCCATAAAATGACCCATGTTTTAAYAGCCCACAGGAAGGAAACACTTAGAGATAGGTGTTAAAACTACTTTTCACTCTTTGAAAATAAGGTGATGAATTCTAGCTAGCCAGAGCACCAGTTTCACCAGCAGCATTTATGAAACTGAATACAAGAATGCTCCTCAGAGCACAAACCAAGATTGTGGGCTGGCAAATGAATACCAATTTGGCAWCTCTGCTGCCAAAACTTCTGTCTTCACCACAAAAGATCAGGTAGGAAGAACCTAGTTTCTACAGATGTGTTACAGAATGATAGCAAGCTTGTAACTGAGTCTTAAGGAACTGGACCAAGATTTAACAGTTTTCAGCACCCCCAGCCACACAGGGCGGGTATAGCAAAGAGTTTCTCCCTCAGCAGCTCAAAGCAACAGAGGGAATAACCCGAAATAAGTCACCACAGCAGATGTCCAGCTTCCTCACCCCACAGCAACAGACTATTTGCTAAAATGGTTTATGAAGTGAAGATTTTGGCTGAAGCTCTCTCTAGAGGTTCCTAGTGAATCTAGGAGTTTCCACAGGGAGAAACTGCACAGAGAAACACACGACATGTGTGAGAAATAGATTCAAGGATGTGTGCCTGTAGGGACATGGAAAGACTTCTGTCCTGAGGTTTTCCTTTCCTCTCCCTGCCTTCTCAGTAAGCAAGTCCAAAGAAGGAAAAAGAGTTAACTGACCTTAACAAGACCATATTTCATCTGAAGAATCAGACTACCGTATARGTTACACAGCATATAGGAGATGAGGGCAGTAGTTGCAAAGAGGACAATTGAAATTTTCAATTTGCACCAAAAGCTTGTTAGTCTGTTATACTGAAGAACTTCTATATGCTAGGATAGACATTGCATCCTGTCTTTTACTTGTGTGAGTCTTCACCAGYCAAAATAAAATATCTCAGCCAGAAACTCAGGAAGCTGACAATCAGAAAGGTCAACTTTAGATCTGTCACTAACAGCACTCAATTTTCAGTGTACAACACTCAGGTTTCAAAACACAACCTTCTGACATACCTCAAGAGCCAGTTGCTCAAAATTTAGATTCAAGTATTAATAAATTACCACTATAGTGTGTTTAATGAAGAACAAAAAGCCTGTAGAGAAAGGCCATGAGCTGCAAAGGACTGAAATGAGATAGAAAGGGTAAGGTTTACCATACCTAAGTGTTCACACAGCCCCTGTTCTCACTCCCCTTCACATTGGAACTGCCAGACTCAGGCAGATACAACAGAGACTGTWGTATCCTTTGTCTAACACGCACTCAAAAATGAAAATTTATCACTTTCTTCTGTTACTAAGATTACTCATTTAAAGTCAGGTCAACAGAGAACCTGTAGACTGAGAGACAGGACTAGGAAAACACAGATTTTTTTCTAACACTGTTAACCAAAAAGCTACAGAACTACATGTCTCTTTGAGGTGCCCAACACCAGAACAGTTTTCATCTTCAAGCAGCAGAACCTGCAATAGTTTTTTAGTATTTTCTAAATAGTATTTTCTAAATAGCTAACCTTCCAGCTTCTGGTTTTCTTTTTCCATTCGAAGTAACAGAATTTGTTGATGGATGGCTTTTCTCCACAGACTTTGTAGTTCTTCTGAGTTTTTCCTCTCTCCAGTTTTATCTGGACCATCCTCATTTTGCAATACTAGAACAAGAGGGTCCTCCTCCAGGGGTGGAGCAAGAGGGGATAAGGGTAACAACTCACTTCCGTCATGACCATCTGCAAAGAATCAGAAAGCTATTACAGGAAAGTCAGATTGTTTGACATATCATGAAAATCTATGTCATAGCAGAACAAAAATAGCTGTCTTTCACATTCATCAGTGAGCTGCTGATTTCAAAGACAGTGAAAATGCAGTTCAACAGTAGAGAAAACTTTCCTTAAAAAAAAAGAAGTGTTTTGTTTACATTAAATAAAGGTTTATTAAAATTAAATATTGTTAATAAGGAGTCACCCAGTATTTCGACCTTTTCCCCAGCCAGGTCCTTCCACAGTTACCATGAGGCATTTACCCATAAAGTCTCCTTTACAGCTGAGTTTGGTTACTGCTATGATTTACCACAGATTATATATTAAAAGCAACTTTTTTCATCTGCTAACCTGCTTTACAGAGAGTGCTATAGCAATTTATGGTCACTAAAAATAGAGTTTGTTATTTATCTATGGTTCTGAATTCTGCCAAAACGGACTCTATCAACAGCACAATTTCTGCTGTTTCAGGGGTGTTTATCTTAAATGGCTTAAAGCTGTAAGAATTAAGACACTCACCAGGTGCTATATGCACTACAAGGACAAAATACAAAATTTATCTTTTTCTGCAAACACTCCTATTATGTACACAGGCTAGGGTAAAAATTTCCTAGCTGTTAAAATGAATATCTTTGTCAGCAAGAGACCTGTCTTAATTTCCTTGCTACAGCAGCTATGGCAGACTATAATTCATTTGATTTTGATTGCCAAAATCCTCTGTTCAAAGCAACAAAAACCTAAATAGTCTAAAGCCAACTGAGCATAACTGATCTCTGGCAAGGTTCCACCATGAACATGGCACCATACTGATTCCCTTTTCCCTTTCACATTTTCACATGTTGCAGTTCACTACAGTACTAAGTAACAACTGCTTGTTTATTTTCTTTAAAAGCACACACAGACCTGGATGCTGCATCTTGGAAGGAGATTTATTCATAGGTGAAGCTACCTGCAGGAATATTCTCCGCCGCCAGGAGATGCGGCGAGGTGTGAGCGTGGCCCCCACAGCATTTAGAGATTCACTGCTGCAGAAGGTTGATGTTCTTTTCTTTCCCTCCCCATCACTGAAGGAAAGAAAAAGCAGATGGGGTATTTAAAGTCAGTACTCCTTGTAGGGGAAAAAAAATCTCTTTATTAACTCTGTCTAATGTATAACCAAACCTGCAGGAGCATTTGCGGGGAAGCTTAAGAAGGCAAAGCATGCTGTGTGTGAGCTTYGCCTTGAATACTGAAGTGCCCAATTGTTCTCTTGCAGCACAGTGCTGTGAAGTCTGCACTGTATACCACCAGGAAGCACTCACAGCATTCATACAGGGCTCAGCTGGGAGCTCAGAATAAAAGCTTAACTTTCAGAGACACTAAGACAGAAAGATGGCAATAGTTAGCCTCTAAATCAGATAGCAGAGTGTTTTGGTTTTAGTCTCACGGGAGCGATCCGATGTAACACCTTAAAAGCAGAGACAGTGCTCCAGAGAAGCACGACACTTCATTTGGTGCCATTTTAAATGTCATGCTGAGCTCACAAGTGAATATTTCATTGGAGAAAATGTTCTGCCTTCTCATATAGTCTCTTTCCTAAGCTTCAAGAAGAGGACACCTTACTTGGATAAATGGGGACACATAGACTCATGTTTCATCAGCATCTCCAGCTGTAGGAACAGAGCCCCTGAAAACAGAATGCAAGCTCAATTCCTACCACAATGACCTGAAAAGGGCTGATCTTCTCTTCAGCTGCCATGCAGAAATACACAATAAATTTAACAGTATCTTATGCTGCTGGAAGAAGCAAGGAGAGGATACAGGAAAGCTTTGCTGGGAGGACACACCAAGCATAYCTTCCTACTGACTACTAGCAGAGGAAAAGACATTTAACTTTCATAAACACTGGATCCATTCTCAGAAATATTTCAGTATTTTGCACTAGTGGTAGCAAAGTAGGTGCACAGATCTTGTATAGCAATGGATACATTGATTATCTGCCACAAATCCTTCCACATAACATCAACAGCAAGAGGTACAATTACAGGCTTAGGGGAAGAGAGAAACAAACAGAGGGTGCTGTTTCTGCAGCTTCACCTTCATTACAGAAAAAAACTGTTATATCAAAAACAGTAGCTACATTTAAAACCTTCATCAAATTTCCATGCTATGGTGCAAGGATCTTAAAATGTTAGATGAAAGGAAAGCCCAGCATGTTTTTAATGGTAAGGCAGCTGCAGATTGCAGTTTGCCAGCTGCAGTCCATCTCCCCACATTTGGCTTGCACAAAAAGAGAGCTCTGCATGGGAGGGCTATGAAGTTTCAGCTACACCAGTCTACCAGCTACACTATCTTCATCAGCATTCAGAACTAATACTCTGTTCTGAATCATTAACCTAAACAGCAACTGTGACAATCTTCTCTGCCTAACTGAGTCTTTGGTGATGGTTAACCGCTGCTCGTGGTAGCCAAATGCAGACTGCAACACTAATTCTGAATCTATASGCGCTGTTTTTCAAAGGTATTCCAGTCCAACAACCCTTGGAAATGAAATACTGAGTTTAGATATATAATCACTCCAATTTATGTTTCTATAAATAACTGCAACAGAACTACTTCTTATTATTTCAAGCCTTGCAAATCATCACGTGCTAGAWCACAAAAACTGAGTCATTCCAGGGCTTACTAAATAGAAGCTCCATAACAAGGGAATGAAAACTTCCTTTCTACTGCCATGCAAGAATCTATGTTCAGCTACTGGGCTTCTAAACATGCAGATGGTCCTAGGAATAGTGTTCAATTACAGTAGCAAAATTCAAAGAAAAGTCAGAATAAGCAGGTGGCTATTTTAGGGTATGAAACTAAGCTGTTTACATCAYTTGAGTCACGGAGTTTCCATCAGTATGAACTAATCACGTACGCTACCTCATGAAGTGTGCAAATCGTACAGTTCTGAGGACCTGTGTTTCTGTTGTTAAATCCTCCCTTCCAAAAATCCCCTGTCACTTTCAGCAGCTTCTATTAATCACCTTCTCTTTCAAAGAGCTGCTGATGGGTAATTAGAGAAAAATTTTTGAAAGTCTCCTAAACACACCTTGACATCTTAATCCAGAAAAACACCAAGACTTAGAAGAGGGAGGCTAAAAGGGAGCAAAGAAAGTTTCCTCATTTCAAAACAACTCCTAGCTTAGTATCACAGATCTGAAGGTGTGAAACAATACCCTACAGTGTTAAAGCAGAAAGAATTCAGAGTAAAATGGTAGTGTCTTATCTTAATGAAAAGATTCAGGAGGCTGGTGCAAAAAAARCATTTCTCTAAATAGGGTGGGGGTAAAGAAAATAATATTAGCCATCAGCTCCCAGCAAAATGAAGAAGTTTATTAATATGAGTAGAGAGACTAAGAGCAAAAATAACCTCCAAAACAAGAAAAAAAAACTTCTTAAATCTTATTCTTAAATCAAGTTCAGTGATGGCTACTGAAAAGCAGAGCAGAGTTTTCACTACATCCTAAGCAGATACCTACATGGGAAACGTGCTAGCAGAAGAATTTCTGGAAAAAAGACAATGATGCAATACTCAGTATTTAAAACATAAGCATCACAACTCAGACTGGAGAATAATGGTTCTCTGTAGGGCTACTTAGCCTGTGCTTCTGACCCAATACAGAAACCAAAATGCGTTTATCACCTTGTATACAATAAAAAAATCAAAAGCTGAAAATTCAATATAACACCTCAAATATTTCAGTCTGTACTTTCATCTTTAAGCTTTTGCAAGCAATAACCCAAGTACTCAAGAGTACTGATCATCTAAGGTTTTATCTCAGGTAACTGCAACTCAGTTTCACCCATTCACAATTCTATAAGATAATGCATAGCATGAAGATGACACAGCTACTTCAGGGGAAGAAAAAAAAAAAAACTAAAAGAAAGAAATCTCCAAAAAATGGTCAGATTACAAATATGCTTCTTGCTTGATTTTAATTATCTAAATCTCTTCCCAGAACTATTTTTTAAAATGCTCCTGAAGACTGATATTTACAAAACCACAGTGCTACCCCATTTCTTGTGAACTCTACATAATWCTTACCTGAATTATTTTGCACTTGAGTCCATGAAAGCCAACTGACTTGTAAATAAATACTCTTGTTGCTCATGCCAAGATTTGTATTTTTCCCCATTTCACTTTCATTTTAACTTCTCTTCTTGATTGCCCTAAGTAGCAATTGAATCAATGCAACCTACTTTGCAATTTGGAGGCTGAGTGGTACAAAATCCCCCAGATCAAGTACAGAATTGAACTTCCCAGCACTTAAGCTGGCAGAAACCTTYACATAAAACCAATACATGAAGCATTCCTCCCCTCTGGGAAGAAAAAAAACCTATTTCTATCAGTTTACACCTCTCTGCTAGTTCTTACTCCTGTCATATATTTTTATTTTGAATTATTACTTTCTGCTATTTTGTTTAAAGAATATTCTCAAGTATTTTATTTCCTTCAAAAAAGTGTTCTGTTCAAATTCAAATTCAGCTTTAATTATCCTTCCATAGCAGCTCAATGAACAGAGAAACTGTGGGGAGCAATAAAGKTTGCTCCATTTAAAAGTGCTGCTTTTCTGTTTATATTAAAAAGCTTTCTTTACTTCTATGTTGGCCTTCTATGTTTTAATCCTTATCTGCAATTCTGCTCAACACTGAATGCTGCACAATGCACCTTATTTGTGGATTAATTAGTTGGAGACCATTTCCACGCTAGCCTTCTCTCCAGACAAATGTATTGACAATGCAATAAAATCATTCTGAAAGCACCTATAAATATTGTGTGAGTGCCAAAATTTACTATACTGTTCATTCCTTGAAGTATCGAACTGTATGGAAGGTTCATAACTAAATCATCTTTAYRGTCCCTTCMAACTAGAACCATTCAGTGATTCAAATAAATAAACTATAACAAAATAAAAAGAAAAMAAMMMCMMAACMCAAMACAAAMAAACAAACAAAAATCCCATGCCATTCTCTTTGCATAGGCCTATCTGACTGCTATAAATAAAAAAAAATCTTTCTAAAATGAATTCCCGCTGAAATTGTCTCTGCTCCTGCACACTGAAGCTGGCAGAACATCAAGAAAAGCTGCCTGCTCTACCATGTGCAATCTCAAARCTATGATAAAAGAAGTCAGACTATACAAAATTTTTCTCCATTGCAATAGGAATTCCACACTTCATGCATGTGTAGTGACCATGATTATTCTAGAAACTATACTGAAGTTTTAATTAGGGTTCCTAACAATTGAATAGTTTATAGTCTGYAGATYGCAAAGCACTGCCACACTGTGCTCAATTCTAAACTATCATACCCTCACTCACATGAGAATGCTCAGAACACTTCATACTGAGCCTGCTAGGATAGATGATGGTTCTCTCTGAGAAGAAGAGCCAAAGGAATAAACCCCAACAAACCAAAGAAGAAACCAACAAGAAAAACACACTGTAAAAAATGARAGCTTCCTCTCATTCCTAAATATGAGGGCATAGGATACATTTGCAAGTTTTGGCCCATGAGTTGGACAATATATTTCATTCTCCATTAGCCAGCTGAAGTGATGGATTGCCTCAGCGACCCTTATCACATCAACATTATTCACTCAGCACTTCTTTCTGACTGTGTTTGTTGTATTCACTTCACAAACCCAACTAGATGCTAACAGTTCATTCTTGCCACTGCAATTTCCTCACAATGACAGTTCAGGCCCAGTTGCTCCCAGCAAGACCTTTAGCTAATGAGATCCAGTTTCACAAGGGTTTTCATACAAACTAAAGATCAAATTATATCAGAAATATGCATACTGTAAAACCTAAGAAGAAACATGGTGGTCTTCTGGGAAYTACTCCTAATTTTGAAGATCTCTCCACCTTTAAGTTTAAAACTCCATAATGAAACACAGTATGTTGAATTGCCTGCATAAACAATTCCAAAAACAGTATCTCAGAAATTTCAATTTGGAATTATCTGGTATTAAAGTATAATTTTCATAYAATACTCAATCCTTCATCCCCCAAATCGAGAAAGCCGGGTTTAATTATGTCCAGCTACCAGTACAAACTGGACTTGGCATTGGTTCAGCTTGGATGAAGTCTGCTATCTAAAGGGAACATAGAAATAAAGCTGGACTGGAACTCAAATTAGAGGTAATCTGTAMGAGCTGTTTATTTTTTCTTGCCATTTCTCATACCTTTGCTTTTTCTTCAGTCCTCTTCCACTGAAAGTTATTTGTTAACTCTCTCTAAACATCTCACAGTTAGTATCACCCAGTTAACTTGTTGCTTCCCCTTCCTCATGCACAGGCATCCCACRTTAGTACAGTACACTCTTCACACTGCTCTTCTTTAATTCCCACATGCCAATGATCATGGCAACACATGCTGGTTTGCATTCAGCAGAGAAAGCATTAAATTAGCGTSACACTCCTAAAATCCATTGCATTTCACGTGACAAACCAATGCAGCAGATTTGCAACACTACAACAGAAATAGGTGGCAGCTACTAGATGCCAGCATAGAAGCCTCTATTTTTAACAGGCTTTTTTAACYAAAAGCCTGTYTGCCCATTTGCATCACGGAAGTCTGYTAGAAATGCAGGAGCACAAGGCAGTGGGAAAGATGCCATGTGCTGCATTCCCTGGGGAATCTTGCTATTAAGCTGGTGGCACTGGAGAACTAGGCAGGACACAACGCTCTCACCTCTTGGAGAGGTCACTTTCTGAGTGCTGGAGCAACCTTCCTGAGCCCTGGTAAAAGCTTTTCAGGAAAGAAGGGGCAGAGAGAGAGGAGGGGAGACCAGGTGCAGATTCACTCTCACTGAGAGCGCGCCGAACCCCGACCACAGGACTGTGCAGGCAACAAGAGAACACAGCAGATGGGTCAGCACGGATTTGGAAACAACAACAAAACCACCAGATTAGAGACAGTGGCCAAACACCTCAGCTTGGCTTACATTAACTTTGTTTCCCAGAGATAACATGTACCATGTGCACTCCTACTTCCCTGRGGATAGTGATTTTGCTGTTACAGCTGAATTACATTAAAAAACTTTTCAATGACACTGCAGAACAGAGAAGCTAATTTCTTTAGCTTAATTTATTTTCAAACCAAATTCAGAAAATATCCTTAGAATCGCATTGTTTCTTYCCCTTCAGTTTTCTTTTGCTTTTGTAAGCAACATATTCAGAAGTAGAGATTATTTAAATGAAGTCTTTCTGGATAAATTTTTGTGAAGAATTTAAATCAAGAAACGTAGCCCTACTACACAGTTAAACATGACTTAGTAATAGTAGCAAGTGTTGGAAGGGACATGAAAATTAATTCAGTTTCTTTTGCTTAACATTTATGACTAATCCTCAAAAGGAAAGAATGAAAAATCCCAGCCTAGAAACACACTGMTACAAACTGTTTTGACTGAAAATTTGCTGATGATGCCCCTTAATCAGCAAGTTCTTAAAAGTTATAACGAAATGTAGTCAGCAAGTCCTTCACTTTGAACTGTCAGGGTTTCCTGTTTGCATGCACCATGGTCAGTGGGAAAAAAGTTTCTCTCAGTAAAAACCACATTATTTATCTCTTTAGAAACACAGTGTAACAAAGGCTAGTTTCTTACCCTTCACTCCCTTCCATTCTCTTAAAACAGAATTAAATTTTTTTGCTCTTCTCTACTAGCTGGTGTGGCAYTCACACTGACATTTCAATGCAGACATCAAACAGGTGATAAATTACTATTTAAAGCCATTTTTAGAAAGAGAGCTCACAAAAAGTATAATTAAAGTCAAGCACTGAAAAAGACAATAGACTGGAGAACGGGATCCTCCAACAGAAAAAAATTCAGCTCATCTGGACCTGAGTTTTGTTTGGACAGTCACTTACTGCAGAGAGCCAGCCTAGAGAAGAGAAAGAAGGTACAACCAAAGAGCCCCACAATGAAGTGTGGGGACCTCTTCTGCTGAGTTAAGGAACTCCTGAAGGAACAGTGCTCCATACATTTATAGCTGGAGAGTCTCCAAAAAGGAAGGAGAAAGAAATTACAGAGGGAAGCTACAGAGGGAAGCTCTGGAGAAAGGCAAACAGGGGAATCACATGCCTCAGAGTTCAGTGGAGGTGTTTAATCCTTCTGTCCTTCTGCAAGACTCCTCACCGGTTTTAATTCTGGACATGCTSTCTGTGAGCTTTGACTAACACAGTTACAGACACTTGAAGCTGTTAGTGCCCTTTTCATCCTGGCATAAAAGCACCAGGCTGCCACCTCTGCTGTCGCAAGCACTGAGGGCCTTTTCTCCAAAGGGTCTGACTACTAACACTGCCAAAAAGGCTCAGCTCGGAGGTGACAATAAATAAATAAACAGACTGGTGCTGGCATCCAGCCAAATCATCAGTTTGATGGATTGATGACTCCCCTGAATTCAGGGGTTACTGAGTCACTGCAAAGCACCAAACTATTCAGAGGCAGAGAAGACARGCTGAAAATAAATAAATAAACGAACAAACCAACCCCGGAGACGTGCAGAAGCCAATCTGATCTAAGCCCCTTATATACTTTGCCAGGAGCAGGGCTGCCATAGCCTCCATCCAGAGGGACACAGGTGAGGCTGGAGCRGCAGGGACCGCGGGCAGTGGCACGGAGCGAGTGCCCGGACTCACCTGGGCGCCTCCACGCAGTTCTGCCGCAGCAGCGGGGAGCGGGCGCTCTGGGACCGGCCGTTCTGGAAGGTTATCCTCCGTCTGGCACTCGAGGGAGGGTGGCTGAAGGTGTGCGCCCGCCTCCTGAACTGAGGGGAGTCCGAGCCTTCCTCGGGAAACGTCTGCCACGCCGAGGACACGGGGGACGCCGGAGGAGTAGCTGGCGGGGAATCGCCCGGCGAAGTGTCCTGAAAGGAAGTGCTGGCGGAGTCAGGCCTGGGGCTCCGTGCCCTACGAGAGCCCTCACTGAACCCGTGGGCTGCCAGCACTGGGGCACCAAAGCCTCTCCCCCTTCTGGGTCATGGCCTATTGTATGCTAATTATCACCCAAACCAGACATCCTTCCAGAGCTCACTCCAAACCAGCAGCGTCCTTCTTCCGAAAAGGGAAAGCGGAGAGAGGAACAAAAATGTATATGCAACACAAACAACATACTAATTACTGCAGGCATCCTCTCACAGGGATGGGCATTCCAGCTACCAGGCTGCTGTCTCTTTCRGGAAAACACAGGAATGGAAAAGACTAGGGAAACTGCTTTTAGCGAGTTTCCTCGACATATCGCGAGCATACTTCCTGTACCGTCACAGCAACATCCTGGAAGAGAGACTGTTATTGCACAGCCAGTATGTGAGCCACTGCAGCAGGAAAACCAGAACAGAATCCTCACCTCCTGGGAAAACCAGCAACCTCATGTGAGGTAAAACTTTAAAAACAGGAAATAAAAAGAAAGTGAACAGAGTTCCGCYCTCGTGCTACCATACAGCATCCCCAACAGCTGGGCTTAGGTCAAAAATTCTTACTTCCCTAAAGCAACTACTTCTTACAGAAAGGATTCTTCACCTTCAGAGCACTTCCTTTAGTTGAGACATGACCTTAATTGCTTCAGTAAAACAAGGCAGAAGCCAGAAATTCCTTGCTTTTTGTAAAAGCAAGGGAAGTGTAGAAAAAAAAAAAGGACTGGCAATCAGATTAAAGCTGAAGCTTCAAGTCAACATAAACTTCAGCTTTCTTACAACCTCTGCCTCCCAGTGGAAACATCTTTGAGTTCTGCAAGTTGATGTGCTTTGTTCTACTTCCTTCATACTACAGCAGAGTGCTGTATTTACGCCCCACTGACACCCGTGCATGAAAACGCAGTTTGAGCCCAGCTCCTTACGTACTCTGTCAGATGCAAGGTTGCTGCAGCGCTCAAAGCTGTCCACACTTCCCAGGCGGCCTCGCATTCTGTTGGCTCCCTGCAAGAGAAAAGGCAAGTTATTTWATCTGGTCTGTTCCCTCTTTTTCAAAAGATTAAGCAAAGATGGCAACACCCGCGCAGGTGAGCACAGGAGAGTTCAGGCACGTGGCACRTTTGACGTAAGACCACAGATCACGGGTCAAGCACTGGACTTTACAAAAAGTGACATCTTCAGCTGGCCAAACTATATCTTCTCCCGTGTTGATCCCAGGAGTTTTAAACCTGCAGCTCTATTGTTTGAGGGCAAGTGAGTATTTCCTGACACGACTGAGGCAAAGTAGCTAAGTCGCTTAAACAGCCAAGTTCAAAAAACTCCAGATTTCAGTACTGCGCACACACTGCTCCTGATGGATGCATCTGTCTCATGAGATCCAGTTTATCCATATCTAAACATTTTAAACAAATTRAATCCACCTGGGCAAAAGGAGTAAAAGCACTAAAACTGGGAAAAAATGCTCTGTTGGCAACAAATCTGGCCAAATAGCACCAGAYAAGACAAGACTTTTCATTTATAATGTTGATAAACCTGATACAAATTTTCTAGAAATTAATGGCAAAGGACCTTTGCTGAATTTGAAACAGTCCTTTGGTTTCACAAGAAGAGGTGATAGATCCACAATACTTTTGATTACCTTAACTCCTAACCTTAACTGCCCGGTGATGTTTGCTGTTGGACATTTCTGACTGCTGAAGCAAGTTGCTTTCAGTAYTTTATCAGGAGAAAAATAGCCTAGTTTTTAGGAAAACTACAGACAGAACTCCTCTTGGTATGCTTGCAACTCCAGGGGAAGTTTTATCAACATCATCAGAATTTATTTAGCCTACTTTTTCCTGGTAAGAGTTATTTTCAAGACTTAGCGTGCCCTTTAAGTACATTATCCCACTTAAGCGCATTACCAATAAATACCCTGCCTGAAGCATCTCCTCACTGAATCTCACAATAAAACCAAGAGCAAAGTATAACTTGGAAGTTTCTCACTACCTTTAAAAAATGRACACTTTTGGCACAGTAAAAAGGACTTTTTGATTAAGCAACAACAACAACAACAGAAGAGGTTAGTGCAGCATGGACTGGATGAAATTCTGTTCCAGAGGTCAAAGAAAGGTTATATTTATTTCTCTGAGGTACCTCATTAGGAAGCCTGTTTTTGGTTCAAACCTCAAAAATAAGATCAGTCCAGCAAAACAAACACACGAAGAAGTGACACTGCTCTGGGACAAAATGAAGCCAGGSCACAGAAACCAGCATGTTTCCTACAGCAAGTAGTGAGAGGCTTAAAGTGTCACTTGATGCTATTTACCTAGCTAAGAAGCCATCCACTTAAAGTGTTCCTAGATATCTGGTTACTACATACTTCTTTCTTTCTAGCTTTCCTAAGATTGAGGCTGCCTAAGATTCTCCCCAATTCATACTGACTTTTAACTTTTAAATTTATCTATTATAAGATGTTGAATGCTACCTTAAAAAAAAACAACAAACAAAACTAATGTAAGTTCTTTCTTGCTCCCTTTGTTACTAAATGTACTTTTAAATAAAGATAGCAACTTTTGCATAATTAGCTCTATTACCTAATAGAGTAATCTATCAATACCATCTGCACTTGGCTTAAGGAGGGAAAAACACACTACACCAATAGGTATTTAGTGTTTAAATACCTTTAGGAATTAACCATGATCCATTACGCTTGTTGTAATAGCCTGATGAAGAATAAGAACTGTTGAAACAGTCATTGTGTATCACATGTATGCCCATAACACACAGAACACCTGCACAGAGATACTTGTATGTGCCTGCTTTAGACAAATAATTAGTGGTTGAGCTGCACTCTAAGCAATTTTTCCTGGTCTTGCGTTGTGTAACTTTCAAGCTAAGTTAAGTGGATCTGCAAGGATGAACCCCCATGTGTATCATGACTCACTGTAACATACTSCTGTTCCTGATCTATTGCACTGTCAAGTTAAAGAAGAGACAGTCTTTCTCACAACAACAAATCCACTTCATAAACTTGAAATGGCCCTAATCCAGATTCAGGTGTCTCCTTCCCTTGAACTCAGTCATGGTTGTGTAGCTCTTTATATTATAATATGCAGCATGTCACAATGGCCCTGACAAGAATAAACATACTATACAAAAAAAAACCCCTAATATTTATTTACAAGAAATTTCCTTTCAGAGACTTTTCAATTTAAGCAGTGTCTTTCACCCAAATGATTTTTCCTCGATATGACTGGAGTGCCAGCATGTCTATATGCTTTACTGAGTTATTTCAGTGGCTTCTTTCACAGCCACTGCAGGGTCAGTGACCCACCACCAGAGCTAGATCACTCGCCAATCACATGTCCCTTAGATGTGGAAAAGAAACCAGACTCATCAAAGGCATGACTGTAGCTGTCACCATTTGATGATACTCCAAACTGATGAAAATACCCAGATCTTCTGACAGCCATCTCTCTTTTCCTTTTTTTTGCATACAGTCTCAGTCTCTCTCTCTTTCTATATTCAGAGCAAGTCCCCAGTTTGTAAAATCTGCTACACAACAGAGGTCAAATKTGACCAGAGAGTTTTACTGCTACTTTTAGTCCTAGATCAAATTGACACTTACCTATAAATTCTAAGGATTCTCTCTGGCTAAGACTATTTTGTTTCCCTTATAGGGAATATCTGTGGTATCCTATGTTTGTAGGTTACTTCATGACATGCCCATATAAACTGCAGGAAAAGTGCAGCTTAGGGCTTGATTCAGCACTGTACTTTTAAAATTACTAGCAGAAGGAACTTAATGTGACTAGTCCAAATTATCACATTCCCTCTGTAACAACACACTGGATCCCAGGCACACAGCCTTCTTCTGATACTTCTCTATATGTCTCTCCTCTGACCCACCCTTCAGAGCAGGGGACACCAAGAAAATCTTGCCATTCAGACTTCTTTATTAAAAGACTACTTAATGTGAGAGAGTTCCAGTGATTATCTGCAATTTCACATAATATCTGGCTAGGAACATCAACATGAAGACCAAGTCACTTTTCCAGACTATTGCTTTTTGTTCCTCTGCAAAAGGAACTTCGTTATTAGCTTCTAAAGGTACTTAGTGCCTAATATGGCAATTTCAGCTATGAGCTGGAAGGCATTACTTCTCGGAACAGAAGGATTTCCCATACATGCAGGCACATTTATTCACACTTTGAAAAACCGATAACATATCTCTTTATGGAATCATGCAACCACCCTGATTAAATTTTATTCTGAAGCAACACATCCRATAATGCTCAGCTAGCTTACTTGCCACCTACAATGAAAGTTTATAATTCAGAAATTTGTCCTTTTCCCCCTCAGTATGTGTGGCCTTACTGTGAACTTTCCAGTACAATTAAATCACAATCAACCCAGTTGTAACTCTCAGATTTCACAACAAGGATATTGCTTCATTAAGCATTTATCAGACTGAGGACAAAATAAAAAAAAAACAACTGATGGGTCTTTACTGTCAAGGGTATCTGGGACAGCTGAGGACAATGAGTTGTTAAACCTACCCTTGAGAAGATATTTTCCAGAGAGCTAGTCAAGGATTTCTTTGCCTTGTTTTTCAGAATGTCAAGTTTAAACCTGCCACCACTGGTCGTGCTTTCTGGAATCGCACTGTTAGAAATGACCTGTTGAAAAGAGCAAGGACACTATTCAGCTTTGGCAATTCTTTTTTTAATTGTGAAGACTATTTCCAAAGAGTAGAGCTGAATCAAGTTACATMAGAAACAAGATAYCCTTGGCTTTATTAAAAAAAAGACACCAAAAATTTACTATCCTCCTCCCCAAAAAAAACATCCTGAACAACAAAACAAAACATTCTTCCAATCAAAAAAACAAATAAGCCCACCATTAAAGGCAGGCACATTCCACCCCCAAAGACTATAATGYAAAAGCACAATGATTTTACAGTACTGTTGCCTATTTCCTTTACAAGATAAGTTCATAGTTYAAACTGAAACCAATGCCCTCTTCATTCCTACGCTCCCTAAATATTTTTGTTTGGGAGCTGGGATCAAGGGGGAAGGAAAAAGAGAGGTATCCTCACACTATGAGGAAGTACAGACATAAAAGTAATTGGCTGACTTTCTTCTTCTCATGTCCCACTCAACTTATAAAACTCACGCATGCCACTATTAATTAAAAACGATTTTTCTTTTCTTTTACAGTCCTCTCTTAATTACAATACCCAGCTTCAGCTACTCCTGAGGAAATCTAGCAGTAGTCCTACTAGTAATTACAGCTGCATTTTAATGGGGTGGGAAGTGGGAGAGGAATAATACAAAACCAAGCTGTACCGATGGCGCTTCACCAATGTGAATGTGYGTTTTCTGCTTAGTCTCACAGAGCTGACGGAGATGCAAGATCACAAGTTCATTTTCTTCCTGGTCATTGTCAGGCTTCATTTTCTGTCAGTAACAGCAAAGAAAGCAAAGTTTGTCTTTCGAGTCATGATTTGCTACCACACGAAGCATATGAAGGTATTCTTTGAAATAATACACTGATATACCAAATGCTAGAGAGCACTGTTACTACATCAAATTGCAATTCTGTGTGCCTTCACACTCCTTGAGCAAGGTAGAACAAAATCTGAAAAAYGTTGCAGGTTCTAGAGAAAAGGGAGCCTTACATCCATACATGTTATTTTCTAAGATTATCTGTTACTATACAGCCTTGCAAGAAGCATAAGGAAGCCAAGACACTCCATTCTTCAGGAATCCAGAGRGGAACACAGCTTTTGGAAACCAAAGTTATTGTATACTTCATCCACTAGAATACATCTGCTTACACCAGAATATTGTGCCAAAGTAAGGAAAAAAAGACAAATTCTTAAAATGCCAGACATGTTCCTGATACCTGCATATCTCTCCCGCTCTCAGCCTACTCCCACAACACTTTCAAGCCAGGAAATGTTTACAGATGCAAAACTAAGCTCAGAATAAAAAACATTCTCTGGGTAAGAACGCAGAGTATCTCAGCAAATTTGGGAAACAAAACTTTTCCCATAGCAGCACATCACATGTGAGGTTAAGTTGAAGCATGCTATTTCAGCATGATGTTAGGTGGAAATATAGTAAATTCTAGCCCATCTACATAATAAACCAAACATAATCATAAGCCAAAATATCTAGTCCATTTTATCRCGATGATTTTTAAATTAGGAAACACTAATTAGGAAGCTTCTAAGGCATTACCTGAACACGTTCAAAAATGTCTGCTTGCTCATTATCAGTTAGTGATGACAAATGTCTCTGAATTACAAGTTTGGCTCTTGGTGGATAGAGTCCTGGGAAAAGAAAGTATCGTTAAAGSTTCTAGATTCTCAAATGATCTTTCAAAAAACTTTAACACAAAATGATAGAAGACATAAATCTGCATTTGAGTTTATACGAGTTAAATGCATGACTTTTGTGTATCCACTGTATACATGATACAAAATAATTGAGGTTTTGCTGAACCAGATGGCTTTGTCTCCTTCCTTTAGCAGTAAAAATATAACCAGCAGCAGCTAAGTGGCTGGCTCCTGAGTGAAAGGCTGTGCTCCCTCCCTACCCCCTCGGTGGCTTCTGTCCTAATACCAAGAGATCACTGACAGATGGAAGCCTGACAACTGTATGGCACAGGAAGAGGAAAGGAACCAATCAGGGCTATAAGTGGAGAGATGATCAGTGCACAGGATACTTGGACCTTTTCAGATGCTTTCAACTGAAAAGCTTTGATGAATTTCTGCCCAAGGAAAGGTAGGTAAGGTAGGTAAGGTAGAGGTCATAGCAGAGAATTGAAGATGCTTTTAAAAGCAAGGACAGCATAAAAGCTGTAATAATAAAGGAAAGAATTTCTGGTACTCAATAAAKTGCACATTTTGTCACAGAGCTCATTCTGAAAAGCTATGAAAAATGTGAGTGAAAACAAACCCCTCGCACCAGATGAGGATATGTTTTTTCCATCTAAGGTAGATATCATTCATAGAAAATTGCAATCAGAACAGATAAAATATTTTTTTCAAAGTCATGCAGCTTTAGGTTAGATTTTGCTAAACTTCTAGCCCCAAAACAAAGCAGATGGATAAAAACAAAGAGTTAAATAAGTCTTCCAGCCATTAAGTATAAAGTTTATGAAACTACTATTACAGTTCACTGGTTGTTGGCCCAAGAGAGATTTTGATACTGGGTCCTTACCCTGCAAGAACCTGTGTTCAAGATACTTACACTGCCTTACACAGCAGCCTCTATAGTTTATAACTGATAGAAGACACTGCCAGCTAAGCTTTACCACTTCTGAATGCCTGTTGTTACACCTGGAAACTGTAAGTCACAGACTACCAAAATTCCACCCCACTAGGATTTTACACTTTGCTTTTCATCCACCAGAGGGAAGCAAGTAGCAACAGTGACTATAAAAATAAGATCCTAACTATTTTTCAGGAAATTCTATCTTGTAAGACTTTTTCTTGTGTGCTGGCATATTTCACTTCTAGAGATAGTTGCTTTAACTTTCTTTATTAGATATTAATYTCCTAACTTAATAATTTATTTTCCCATAATATAACCAGATTTTGAGGTGTGTGAGAGAATAAACACAAAGAAGGAAAAAAAATAATCTCACATAGGAAAGAAGGAACACACAGGAAAGCAAGTTCCTCTCTGAGCATAACTGTCTTTTTCTGAGTCATTTTGAAAGCATGTAACGTGAGAAAAATCCCCAAACAAATGGAAGGTCAATTGGTGGGTTTTGCTGCTCTRCTTAAGAAAGGTATGATGATGAAAGAGCATGTGTTCATAACACATATATGTGCTTATAACACAGAAGCTACACTATATTCTGATGCAGTATCATTACTGCTAACACTCCACCTTAATACAGAGAATGCAAAGTGGCAGTAAGAATTGCATACTGGGATACTTTTCCCTCTGTTCTTACATTGTTTAAGTTATTCCTCTAAAAAAATCAGCAAAACACGATTAGAAAATAAACTCAGCTGCTACCTTCAATTCTTTCACAAAGTTTGTGCAATGAATGCATAGGGCAGGCCTCACACAGTTTAATTTGTGTCTTGGCACTTTGMAGAGCTGCAGCAGTGCTGAAGGCTTGTTTCAGGGTCAGCATTACCTCATCAACCTATATGGGAAGGAGGAAAAGAGTATATAAACAAAGATGCATGCCATATTCRTGAAATTAGATTTATAAATCACATCACAGACAGGTGTTTTAGAATTAAAAAAAACAAAAACAAAAAATCCCCAAACCATACAAACCCATTTGCTGTTTTCTAAAGAGATCAAGGTTGCATTCCCAGCTTTCTACCTTTTGTGTAGATGCTCGCCATCTTTAAGTTCAGCCAAACACTGTAATTTTGATCTCCAACTGCAGCTACTGTAGCTTAGTGGGAAGGCACCCACTGTTTTAAGAAGCTGCAAGTGGGACGTTTTRGCTTGAATATATGCTGGCTAAATAAAAACCATTAATTTCTTCAGCTTCAAGTTTCTCCTGTAAACTGCACAWACTCCCTCTTAACGACTGTCCTCCCACCACTAGAGCATTTTAGCACCAACCCCCTCTGATCAATCCCTGCTGCCAGACTGGAGCTTCCCACAGCAGCTCACTTTTCTCCAGGCTACCAGACTGCTTATCAGCATCATTACARTCACCACTATCTTTAAACACTGCTAGCCTGCCTCACAGTCTGCCCTGACCTTTCCTCTGCCACTAACACAAACACAGCAGTGCTATGTTCCCACACACCAGCACTGGAAAAGCTCAACTTTTATATAAGAAAKGTTGAGCTGAGAGCATTTCTCCACATTTGTTCAAATATGCTCCCAAACCTTGCATACAAAACACTTGGAGTTCCCCTCTCTGCATTACAGGGGAATACAGTGCTTATAAAAGCTGTTTGCTGAGTGTTAACGTTAGTATGGAAGGAGGGAGACAACAGCTTGAGAACAATTTTAGGAAAAACATCAGTATTCTACTTCAGAATCAGGTCCTCACTCTGCTTGTTACTTTTCTTTATAAGCAGGAAGAAAGCTGAAATACTTGAGAACAAAATCATACAGTTTAACATTGAAAACACACAGACTTTTTTGATGGTCKGTCACTTGGGAGGAAAAAGAAAAAYAAGGTAGRAAAGGAACCTGAATGTAGAAATTWGAACTAATTTGTRWCCCAGTATGTCTAGATTTGTTTTGTTTGCTTTAAACCTCACAGTTTTAAGTATTATGAGTAATTTTTGGATGCTTTCTCTTCTTAGCAATAAAGCACCACACTGAACAGTGAATGTCAATCTTGCAACATGGACTGGCAATTTTATTAAGTTGGATACTGTCCCTCTCCAATGGAAGATCCATAGAACAGGGCTAAGTAAATGGATTATGACTACACTAAAATCATAGGAACTGTAGCACAAACCTTAACTGGGTTTAGAGCAGACACACACAAGCCTCCCAACACAGCCTGCCTGGCAGTGGAGAATCTGGAAAGCTCTGCCCTGCCACAGTCAAACTGCCACCAGGATCCAAGTGAGTGCATCTGAAAATAGCTCAGGAATGCTCCGTTCATATTGCAATGCAGGCATACCCACACGTATCAGTACTAGAATATGCAAAGAGGTTCATAAAAACATGGGGGTTTTATACACCACTTAAGYCTCTGAATTATGCATGGTCAGGTTTATCAATAGCTCAGATGTAACATTTTCTGTTAGTACAATGATAAAGCTGATTTCAAACCAAGCATCCATTTTGACAAAACTGCAGCCTCAGCTGCCATTGTGYATCTAGAGCTGTTGGCCCTTTTCAAGTTAGTCAATGCATTAACAAATTACATTTTCAGCTAACTAGAAAAGTGATTTTTAAGTTTATCTAAGAGTTAGCAGCTGTTACYAGAGCCATCAGAAACAAACACATTTCAGAACAGGAAACAACTTCTTTCAAAGTGTCAGAATTTAAAATAAAAATGGAGTCAAAATTATTTCCTGTATGCATCTCACATCATTAAGGCTACCTGTTATCAGTAAAACCAGTACCAGCATCTGGAACTTCAATTAATTGATACACACTTTATCCAAAGTCAAATGTATTTTTATAGGTACATAGATCCACAAATATTATGGTATAGATCACATCTTCTTCTGTGATCAGATGCTGCTATCTTCTTCTCCCAAGGAACAAAACAGACTACAGGGAAAAAGCTAAAGCCACCTGTGGRCTTAAGACACAGACAGGATCAGCCAGTACTTTAAACCCTACCCTGAAGTGTATGTTTGGGTTTTGTCATGACTTTTGTTACTGATTCAATACATGTCTTTACACATTTAATGGGGAACCAAATTTCTCAACAGTTTGAATTGGAAGAATTACAATCAAATACAAAGCCCAAATATGCTCACAGTCCACATGCACAAACACACCCATATGGATTTTATCTATTTGTTATTGATAGATGCATCAGCAGAGCAGCAGGATATGGCTGTGTATGAACAGAAAGTGTGCATTTCCTATTGCAGATTTGCATATGCACAGCTGACGTCTTGCACCTGAGATGTGACCACTGAGGCTCAGCTGACACAACAGAATAACAGAGACTCCTATTGTTTAGGAAATGCCTTAGAAATGCCCTGATGAAAAGGTTAGGATCATTAAAGAATACTCACCAGAGACTCACTTGCACACTGGAACACATAGCAAACATACTGGCTTAACCCAGGYTCCACAGACTCCCGGCAAATGAAACCAAAGTGATCAACGTGTTTTATACCCTAAAAGAATTTAAAAACAGCATTAGTGGACTATTTTATAGACAGGTTTCATTTCCAAAAAATTGAGAAAATATAAATGCATACTCCTACTGATCTATTTTACAAGTAGCACAGTTATCTTTTAAATTGCTTTTTGTATTTAAGTTATATAAAGATCTTTACACAGTCAAAACCAAAGTTATACAACAATAAATCTGGACCTGAATTTATTCCATTATCAAAACTGGATATTTAGGGGGAAAAAAAAGCTGTTAGATTTTTAGGGAAGCAAACTAAAGGCTGCTAGGTTGTATTTGGAATTGTCTCCACAGTGAAAACGTGATGTAATAAGCCCATGCTAAAACACAGGATTGGAGAAGCATTGGAGTAGCAGCAGACCCTTCCTTTCCTGTAATACACATAAGGACTACACCAAAAAAAACAAACAAAAATAACCCAAAAAAACCCCCCACAAAACACCAGGGAATGAGAGGCAACATACAGAATTCCAGCCAAATTCCGAAATAGATTCTTTGAGACTGAGGACTGAGTTACATACCAAAAGTTTCAAGACTTACTACACATGACTAGTGATACTTTCTTTCAAGATCGTAGTACAACAGCTTGACAGGGAACGCCGCCTTGCTAAAAACAGCACTGAGAAGATCAAAGAGAGCTGCTTCCTAAGAAGTACTATATTCCCAGTCTTAATTCATGGAACATGACTCACTATTGTTAAAGCTTTTGCCAATGTTTTTATCATCTGAGTATGGTAATAGCAGATATTCTCCAAATGAAAGCCTAATCCCTCAAGTTCTAATACAACAAAAATCAGAACACGGCTGTTGGATCCATCTCCAAAGAAAACACCTATATCATAAAAGAGAGGAGGAGGCAAAGCAACTCGCCTGTCACTACAGAAAACACTCRAGACAAAATGGGAAATGCAGTACGTGACAGACTGAACATATTGTCATTACACACKGTTGTTTTTGAAAACAAAATTCCAAAAGTCACATTTATGCCGCTTACAACTTAACAGGTGCACAGGGTTGTTAAGATGACACAAACAGCATTAGTTGAACCACGGTCACACTAATCTTGACTTCATTTTTTGTGACGTATGAAGTCTTCAAAAGCATAAAACAAAAAAGGTCAGATGTGCACACATGTTGATCTACAGAAGAGTGAAGTGTTGACCTCTGTTTCGCAAGAAAATGTATTTACTGAAGGTGGTTTGGTGAGATGCCAGTTCCCTCATCGCTGACAGTGCCTGAACAAGCCTACTGCTGTCTTGACTTCTCCGTCTCCACAGGAGAACATTTGAGGGGGAGACGGATGTGACACTTGCCCTACTGAAGCACAACTAGGACRCTGTGTTCCTAAATCAACAGTACTTCACATTTCTTTAAGAGGGTGGCTGGACTTGTCGTGACAAAAGAGCCAAGTTTTTTGTTGTTCTRAGCTCTCTCATGGGGAAGGCTGCAACAAGAAAACTTCTACAGCTATTCGATACCTGAGTTTAGACTGCACACACAGGTTTATCATCAATTATATTTGCTGCTTGACAATTATGAAGAGTGTTGATAATTAACTGAATGCAACAGCTCAAYCATGCTTAAGCTGGTATTTTTTATCCATGCTTAAGGATAAAAAATACCTTTATTAGACCAGACTAAGAGAATCCAGAATGCAAACTGACGATAACATCTCCTTTTCATTGTTTGTAAAGCATGGAAGAACAAATATTCCTAAGCTGCAGTCCCACAATACACAGTAAATCACTGCCCTATAAATCYGTAACAGAGGAGCCCCGGGGCTAGCACCAAGTTCTTAGAGGAACTACTGATGAGGTTTATGCAACCAATGCTTAGTCGTGAACAAAACAATATTTTATTTCTATTGAACACAGTACCTCCTCAACTTCTCTAAAGTGAATGTTTTGCATTAAAAAAAAACAAACAAACAAACAAATCCCCACAGTATTGTTACTGCCTCTGAGGGTTACTGAAGAATGCAAAGTAACAGAAGCTTTGCTCCAAATGAAAGTGAAGAGGTGAAGTGAAAAACACCTCCAAAGCCCAACACACAGAATTACCTTAGACAATTTATTGTACAAAGTTATTTTCCTGAAAGAAGGCTGGGCCTTGAAGGTCTTCCATGATCTTACTGGKCACCATATTTTAAAATCAGCAAAAGAAAATTTGTGCCCACTTAGGATGGTTTTGTTTGACTTTTTAAAGTATATATATATACAGCCTAGGAGCCCAGTATCTAAAGTTGAAGTGTTGCTTTCATTAGTTCAGTACACCCAAAAATCAGAAGACCAAAGTTATCTGCAAATTCTGTTTTCCATACCCCTTTTTAAGAAGTATTTTTGTCTGTATTTATCATAAAGCCATTACTACATTTTTTTATTATACTGTCCCATTCTGTATTTGCATTAGCTTTTTTTCTCTGCCAAAAGCAATACAAATTATAGCTAAACAGTAAAGTCGATTTAAGGACCTTTAGTTGGTAGCTCAAGACTCCACTTGAGTTACAAGTATTGCCTAATTCTTAATTTGCCATAGCATTGGTAGCCCAGTCATGCAAGAGCACACTTGTTATTAGCATTAAAATGAAAGCACTTGGGGGTGAAATGCAGGCTTAGAGAATGCCAAAAGTGTACTTTAAACTAGAATAATCATGTTTAAGGAGGCCTGAAGTAATGATGTGGCGTGGCAAATGAAAGGAGGTAATAAAGTAAGACCTCAAACCAGAAACTGTCTGTAGTAACAGGTGCTGAACAAGAGCAAGATGGAAAGGTGAACCTCTTAGCATTGATATTTAACTTCATAAGAAATATTTATTTATTACTGAACACAGCTAGGTACACCTATTGCCATACTGTCCAGAAGAAATTATGCAGGTGAACTGCTGTATTTTTGGAAGGGTTGATCTGATGCTCTCCTCCTTTCATTCTGAAGGCTTTCAGGAGCTTATCTGCTCAGAAATGGCACACTCAGAGCATCCTAAAAGGAGATTAAACTACTTCCAAAAACATATCCAATGCTCTCCCAAAGCAGAATAGCTTACACTTTGTTTGCTGACCAATGATCAAAGTTGCCATTATCACAGATCAGACTGGTTATTCTGCACTCATATTTTCTGGACTTTTCTGGGAAAAGAATKCTACATTTCTTTTTTTCTCCAAGACCCACAAGGCAACACAGCTGAAGAACAAATAAAATCCTTTTCTCATAATGATCTGCATATTGCTTCTTATTAATGCTTACCTGAGAGCATGAGGAGATATCTTTAAAATTCTTTTCAAGCACAACAGATTTGGTGTCTGGACTGATGAGGTTAACTTCAAACCTTCCAACCTGAGGGGGAGAAAAATAAATCTAATTTATGACTGGCCTGGGGGCACAGCATTGACAGCAACAAAAATGTCAGAATCTAGCCCTTTCTTGTTCGCATAGAGTACCTTTTGGCACAACAGCTTACTCAGCAGCAACAAGGGTGCCAGGGTGCTGTAATTCTGCCTATGTTGAGTAAGAATATTTCAGCAAGAACAATACATTCAGTTGAATAWGAAAAAGACTTGGAAAGAAGACAGCTTTTCTTCCCCTCCCCCACCTTTTTTCTTCAAGTTRTTTTAGTCCAAATATCACATGTTTGACAGACAATACTGAAACCTTTAGAAAACAATGTGGCTAAATTAAAAGCTGCAAAAATTTTAAAAAAATATTGAAGGTTATTGGGATTTAAATTATATCATAGATTAGCTGACAAACTAAGGTGATACTTTTTGATATGTACTAATTCCAAACGGGGAAGAGTAGGTTCTGTGGCAAACTACCTTTCAGCTTTCCCAAACTGTTTCTCATCCCTATGGAACTTATTCTATAGTCCTCAGAGATTTTTTCAGCTAAATCCWTTTCATTATTAGTCATAAGATGTGGCTTTCTGAAGGGCAATGCATTCTCACTTCAGTTATCWTTTCCCCAAGAAGATAAAAAATAAGAATGATCTTTAAAACAAATGGAAAGACAAAATCCAGGCATTTAGCCTGCTGTTATTTTAATGTCCAAAATTTTTTCCTTTTATGGGTCACCTCCTTTATTGTGTCCTGTTTTCTCAAAACAAGCTCCAAAAATCTGAAATGCACTTCAGGCAACAAAAGAGAAACCCATTGAGGTCTGAAGGAAGAAGCCTTCAGTGCAGAGATGTTTGAGTACTTCTCTGGGAAAGACAAGATAATAATACAAGTTATCAAAAAGGGGCTGGCTTGAATATAAGGCTGTGAAAATCTAATGTGAAGCTGTGTATTTCTCCTTAAGTGTACAAAAAAGAGTGTTTGATTGCACGGTAGCCTTCTTTGATTCTCTTTTTGAAAGAATATTCACTTTTTTCAGCTAGCTTCTAGATCTCACCAGTATAGACAACTCAGAACTGCATATAAAATAATTATTTCTCTAAAAACTCTGCTTCTTTAAGTAATTACYCCTTAAGTAATTACTTTTTCTTAAAATTTGCCTGAGCTCATGAGTTRAAGTGACTTCCTTAACAAAGTTCAGCTACTTTTGTTCCAACCATTTATAAACAGATAAGTAAATATTTATGACAAATCTTGAAGCCATACTAGATCCATATTACTTATCTTGCAACATTTGTCTCAGCTTCAAACTGCAGAKGGGAAAAAGAAATGGTACAAAACCAACAGGAAATGATTTGTCCTAGTACACACCTGGAACAACATTGTCCTGTTCTTCTCAGAATCAGAGGGCTGAACGTGACTGGGTGCACTGGCGTGTCTCCTGCGGGACTGTGTTTTCAGGTTTGTGTCATGAACCCTTCTCGGCATCCCTGCAGTGACGCTGCTGCACCGGGAGCGAAACTCCTGCTGCTCATCAAAGCCAGAGTCCTCCAAAATCCTCTCTGGAAAGSAGCCGCGAGTGCTGGCCAGGTTGGTCAGGTTGGTCTGGCTGCCAATTGTAAACATTGGAGCATGGCCTGAGGTGCTGTTTGGGCTSTCCAGCTCCTCAAATGGGCTATCCAAGGGAGAAGCTGGAGAGCTTTCTTCACACAGGGGCAGATCCAAACTCGACTCATTATTCCGCTGCTCGTTCAACAGTTTCAGGCGCTGGCGCTCATGAAGGCTGAATTTCTCTATGCAGTCGTCTATTAGTGAGGAGGGAGCTTTCTTGTGAGCCACTGTCACCTTTCCACAGTACAAGACCTCAAATTTTTGAGAGTCATAGAAGGCATCTTCACTATCCTTACTTGGTTTGGCATCTTCTTTCAGTGCTGCTTTGGAGACTTGTCKTATGCTGCTGATGACATCAGGAACCTAAGGGACAATGTGAAAGGGCTTTTTAGAAACCACAGATGAGCCAGCACAGACAGTGATGTGTCAAGCATTTGTTARGGTAAGTATTTACACATGCTATTTCTCCAGCAGAGTTTCACTAGCTTCTTGGTTAATAATGTAAAACCAGTAAAGTCTAAATTCTGTTCTGTATAGCCAATTTATGCAGTGGAAGCAGAACAAATAGTTTCCAAATTTTTTCTTGGAATGTTTTCCAGTACCTAAGGTTTTAAATTACCAGAAGGTCATTCAGTAAATGTTCAYATCCTTTTGTTTTTACTGAGACTACCTTCTCTTTTCCATGGTCCTCTGCCCACAGTGGCATGTTTTACTGCTGTATTCTGCAAAGGGCTATCACTGTTCCTTTGTTTTTATTTTGCAGAGCCACTTACTCTTCTTAAGACTGTTTTGGGAACAGTTTTGGGGGAAAGAGACCAGCAATCTCCATCAGTTTCAACTGACAGTTTTGGAATACAGGTAGCAAGACTATGGCCATTTTACTGAAGTACCATGTAAAATTGCATTAGGTCTCAGTTATCATCAACTACAAAACCCCTGCCCCATCCATCCCATGACACAGTTCACCTCAAGGTGACACTTCCCTGCTGCCTCAGTCATTGTGCAATTAAGCAGCACACACAAATCTCTCTTCTCTGCACAGACCCCTACTATACCCCGTAGAGCCAAACTGCATCCAGTAGAAACTCACAATTTCAGCCCTGTATCACAAGTCTTTCAAAGACACGTGGCTCTTCCTCCATTTTATCCCAATCACCCTGGGAGGAGTCTGCTTTCAGTATCAACATATTCAATACACAAGCTCTTTTTTCATTCTGCCTTCATTAAAGAAAACAAGGACTTACCCAACTCTACTAATTCCAGATCAGAGTGATAATAGTTGCTCTTTTAACAGTACCTACTCTTTTGAACCACACCTCTTTCCACCATGTCCCATTTTCTCTAGGGGTATAATGAAAGGCCTCACACAACATGCATTGAGAAGTTACTAGTGATGATGAGATAAAGAGAGAATAACTACCCAATTTTCTTTGCAGGAGAAATCAGTTCTCAACATTCAACAAATSCAATATAATTAATCAACAGCTTTTGTATTCTATAAGCTTCCCACTATACCTATACTATTTGATATTTTTCAGAGAATTTTTCTATTACAAAAAGGGGAACTTTAAAGTCACACCTTAGTAAATAATCCATGCTCCCTACAGTATCTCTTTCYTTCAGTCACATGATACCAGCTGAAGCTTGCTACTGAGGCAGSAATCTCATATGCCAACACTTTTGCAAGTCACAGTGGAAAATTACCTCATCTTAATCCCCATCTCCCATTACACACTTGTCCTCCCTTGGGCATTCAACTCAAATCTGCTTCCAGTTCATTTATTGCAAAATGAAGTCCAATTACCCTAAGGTCTGCTGACCRTTTGGCTTCTATCCCTTTAGATGTCAACACCATCTCAGTTTTCAGGGAGGCTAAAAGCTRAGTCTAGATGTGACACAGATATTAGAGTGTAACTATTCTTCCCTCGTTCTCACTCCTGGGCTGCTTTACTATCACCCAAGGTGCACTTCCTCCCAGCCATGCCAGTTCAGCAGGACTTGAACAATCCTTACAGTGCACGTGCCTTTTCATATTCCAAGGTGTAGCTCTTTTTCCACTGATCACTCTCCAATTCTCTCTATGGCCTGTGCTTAAAGAAGCTCTAGAGTTTAAATTGCTTAGCTCTCTATTTTAACAAAATACACAAACTAGCTATCTTTTAATTAAAATTACTCCTTTTACAATCTAGAAGCTGTTACAGGGCAATTCACATATATTCTATTCAAAGTAGAGTGATAAATGATAAATTCTATTCAAAACGCATACATTTTGCACACAGTCAACTAGAATAAACACTGTCAGCTGTTTAATCGGCAATTTAATTTTTTTTAAAGTGTACCATCACTTCCATTCCAGTAACTGGGTTTTGTCTCTTGCCCATCGCCTCTAAGACAAAAAACCTGGAAATTCTTATATCTGTCTACAAATATGCAATAGCTTCCTAACACATCCTTTCCCTCTCCCCCCCACCAGCAAATGTCCAAAAAGGTTGGACACACGACACTACCACTTCTACCTCAACAGGAGTACCCATCTTCTGCAGAGATCTCCCTCACAAATGCACAGAGTTTTAAGAAATTATAATTCTACTTAGAAAAACCCACCATCCTAAGCATCCTGCTGTTTATCACTTTGATTTATTTCCCTCTTTTCCAGATTATGTATACTATTCAGGCACTAGTATTTAAGTCACAATGATTATTTCAGAATTCTTGCTCCTTATAAGGCTTTTGCATCACATAAATTGCTATAGTATTTTCACTTCATGCATAAAGGGACCTTAGCATTAGAGCAGGGGTTTCAGCTCATACAGTCCAAACAATCTTTATTCCCTGCTTTCTTTGGGTAAACTTTTTCAGGCTATGGTTTTTTGTTTTTTTTTTTTTTGTGTGTGTGCTCCTTCATCAGCATTCATTTCTTTTCTACTTTTCAACCTATAGACAGAACKAAAGTGAAAAATCAAAGTGAGCATTTTGAGACCCATTTAATCTCTGTAGTTATGAATACTTTATTTACACACAGATGAAGAGAAAAACAATATAATGTAACACAGAGATGGCACAATTCATAACTAATATCTGTCAGACAGCCAGATGCAGTTCCAGATGCTTGTTGGTTGTTTCATGGGTACTTTGAGTAGCATGGTGTAAAAACAGCCTCAAGTATAACATTCAAGACAGATACTAACGCTGTCAGGCTATTAGTCACACACGTGGATTTTATTGGTCTTTGCTGTACAGGGGCAGCTGTGTGCTGMTGATGATGCACCCAATGAGTGGCAATGTGCCAGCCTGTGCTGTTAGACCTGAACCTCTCCACTCCCAGAGGGACACTTTCTTATCAAGAACCAAGAGCTATTTCTGAGATGTCCCTGATCAGATTACAGTATCTGACTTTGAGCAAAACCCCTACACTGGGATCAAATGGAGTCTCAACAACAGTTTGCATCTGTATTTTCCTGAAATCCAAGATACAGGAAAAGYTACGTAGTCATCAAGCATACATCCCAGTATGGCTTTTTACACATTTCTTTGACACATATCTTTGGGTTTTGACATTTTGCTCCCCTGCGTATCAAGAAATATCARTCATAAAAGTTTCACCATCAAAGTTGTGTAACTTTTTTTAATTTGGATATTAGCTTATTATCTGTTAATGCAAAAATTGCAGGGCAAAGTTAGACAAGATAATAAGCAGAATAGAGCTTTTAAAATACTGAATTATGTGGACAAAAATTCTTATCTACTTTTAGAAATCACTTTAGGAATATTAAAAAGACAGACTCCTGAAACAGTCAAAACTTWTTAATGTGTTTCCAAGTTCTAGTATTTCCCTGCAGAAGTCTCATGAAATTAAGTGCACAGAGGACAGAAATGGGATTATTACTCCTGAAACCCACAGGGCCATTGACAATCTTCCTGGACATCTACTACCAGCTGTTACAGTAGAGCAAAATTAAATGGTTAAATGAGTTATTGTATAGGTYTTCAGTATTCACCTGAATATAAAGAAATTAAATCCCTAAAATATTTAAGCAATTGAACTATTCAACACACTCAGAATTTTTTTTTGTCAAGCCTTGAAGACAGTCACATCAAGAAGAAAGATTTGATYAGAAGGGGCTACACAGTGTATTCTCAGGGTGAGAGACACACACTTCCAGCCCAAACAAACCCTGTGGCAGGACAATGCAAGAAGACTTAATCCTCCCAGGCTTTGCCGGTCCCAGATCCCATGGTCTAGGGGCCTATCACCTTTTTCCAAATATTGCTGGACAGAAGAGAAAATCATTGTGTTCCAAAGGCAGTTGCAGAGGGCCTCTCAGACCAGAAAGGTAGGAGCTGATAGTCCAGCGCTGAAACAGCAATTCTCCCAAGTAGAAACATAATGTAGGCATTACTATAGGTTTTATTTGTGAAGTTTCCCTATACTCAAGTAGCAGCAGACTACTTCATGAAGCACAGAACAAGGCAGTCACCCCCCACTCCGACACACTCAAATTTTTTGGAACAGCACACAAAGATTTCTCAMACACAGCAGTGACCTCATGCTTAAACAGTAGCAGGCACACTGGACCTTCTCAAATATTAATAAACTGAAACCAAACAAAATGGATCCAAGAGCTTCAGATGAGCTTTCTTCCCCTCCAGGACATCAAAAGCATACATGACTGTCAGAAGAAAACACCTGCATGGGTACTGTAAGACCCTCAAAACAGTGTTCATAGTAACTGCTCAATCTCTGAATGGAGCCAAAAGAACTCAGAAGAGCAGAGATCCTTCCTCAGGGTCTGTACCAARCAACAACCCCAAATGCAAGAGGCCAATAACACAAGACAGTGGGTACCATAAGTACAAAACTAAACTTGTGATACTAGTTTGCGTCTTCAGTGTGAAAAACACTGCAAAACTTGGTTGAGAAAAAAGAAAAACAAAAAAACAAAATAAAACAAACCCCAGTACCAGAACCAACCAAACACAACTGTGAGTTAAGAGGCAAATAATAAGTGCTCTATAATGTCACTGAAGAGGCAATATTTTCCTCCAGGGAAATATAGTTGATCTAATAAGAMTAATTAAAGAAAAATAAAAATACAACCTGACACTTGGGTACCTAAATCAAATTYGGTATTCACAATTGAGCAGCCTAGGCTTGTATGAACCACTGAAATAACCTGATTCAATACATGGTAATTCAATTTAGAAAAGTTAGCTGTACTCAAACCAGAAGGCCCTGGTCAAGTTCTGCATTGCCTACAATTAGATTCCGCTCTGAAAAGAACTACATAAGAAGTAAAGCAAGACACTGCCACAAACTCTGTTTACTGTAGGCAATAGAGTTTTGAAAACCAAAATTAGTGACA